AACATTTAAGCTTAACCCATTCATTTCAACAATTGCCTTATAATAATCATCATGAGAGGGATTACAGGAACATTTTGGATTTGGATTTCCAACTTCTGCTTCAGAGGAAGAAGAAGACTGTAATTCCATAACAACATCCCCATAATCAGCTGATGATTCTGATTCAGAAGAACTAGTATTAAGTAACAATTTACTTAATTGAAGTCTTAGTTTATCTTCTATGTGAAGACTACTGAGCTTCTCCTTAGTTCTGCACTTGTTTGCATAGTGGCCTATGCGTCCACATTTGAAACATTTAGCCTCAGCTTTGGGCTTTCCTTTACCCTTTGCTTTAGGAATATATTTCCTTTTAGGCTTAGTATACTGTCGAGAATTATCCTTTTCCTTTGAATAATTCTTTCTTTTGGAATACTTCCTTTTATAAGGTTTTTCAACCTTATTTCTTTTCCTAGGTTTAGGATAAGATAAGGGAGTCTGGTAGGCAAATTGATCACAAAATTCACCCACTTCCTTTCTACCAGTTAATCTTTGTGCTTTTAACTGGGATTGTAATTTCAGATCATTACAGAGAGCTAGACCTTCCTGGATTACAATATTAACTAATCCACCATAGGTATAGTTTCTGTAAGGGATAGAGATACCATTATGCATATCTCTAAGTTTTTCCCTGATTCTTTCAGCAAAAAAGGTTGGTAAACCATCCACAAATTTTGCTTTCCAGTGCTCATGATTTGCATCATTATGTTGAAGAACCTTTGCCAAGAATACATCTTTATACCACCGGAAATGAGTTAAAGATGGACATCTTAGATTCTGTAGAAGTTCACGACTCCTTTCACTATTAGCACCTTATGGGCCAACAAAATGTTGGATAATAGTGGTGATGAGGGTGTAAACCGCATCCGGAGCAGATCCTGGTTGTTGAGTAGCTTCAACTTTAACTATCTTGGTATTAATGAATAAATTGAATTAGGTCAAATGGGGCAGACATTATTATTTCATTGAAACCATGAAGAAAGTAAACTCAAAAGATTCTCCCCTCTAGCCCAACTATATGGATTCAAGCCCAAGAGATGGGGTTAAACAAATGATTTGCAGAGGTTGACAGAAGCACCTCAAACTATGAAAGATTGATATATACACTCCTAGTTGATTGTAGGAAGTCTTAATTACACTCCAAGAATCCACTATATAAGGAAAGTTTGTAGAGATATCTTTACGGAGTGTTGTCCTAGTATATACATATACTAATGTATATTTATCATCACTACCAAATATTTTAGGGTCTTATTTGTTCATCTCTTTGTTCCCATGAACATAGTTCGAGGTTTCTCCATCAAAGAGGACATAGGGGAAATTTTTGAAGGCATGAATTTCATAGAAGGAGCAAGGAAATTAAGGAGGCAAGACTTTTGACCTTTTATTATCATTCTTGAGGAATGTGTGTGAGATTTATTGGAGTGGATTATGTTCAAGTTAATTTATTGAAGCAATCAAATATTTATTTGATTCTTTCCTAACTAAATGTTATTGCAAATAAAATGTCTAATTAAGTGTAACCTAACATTGAGGGTTTTTGTGTGACTAAGAGAAATGTCTACTTGACAAGATAGAGGGACAAACATGAGAAGCTTAGAAAAGCTAAACCAAAAAAAAAAATAAATAAATAAATTCATATTAAGAGAGTTGAGCACTCTATCAACTAAGCGGATAACACCACTCTTCTTAGATAGTTTAATTGTGGCTCTCTTTGTCTTTGTCCATATTTTGCTAGAAGTCTCTATTGCTCCTTTGGCAGTTAATTTGCTGTTGCAACAACAGTATTTTGTTTGTTTGGGCTGGTCTTTTTGGGCCTTTTCGGCCTTGGGCCTTCTTCGGCTCCGCCCTTTCTTTTGTACAGGCCCACTCTTTTTATAATAAAAAGGTCAACCGGTTTGTTTTGCACGGTTTGGTTATTATATCCTTATTTTATAGTATTACATTTTACCATAATGTTGTTGTACCAACTATAGAGGAGCACATAAGTTGATTTAACTTTCTAATAATAAGAGCTAATTGAGATATTTTTTAAAATTTTTTGAAAGTCAGATAAATTTTTTATTCTAACGATAATTCGATAAACAAAGAAAGCTCGGGTGTCATGTTACATAGATTGAAGTCATAAATTTATTTCATAAATCAGTTTACCAAACGTGGCACAATATACTTATTATATATAATCTCACATTTGTGGAAGATTTAGATAATTTTCAACCACTACCAAACTACCAGTGTGCCAAGCCAATCAAACTTAGGATTTGTTATTTTTGGGTAAGTCATCATCAGTTTGTATTGTAATTCCATTTTTGCCCCTTCCACCCCCAAAATGGCTCTATAAATTCATCTCCACAGTCCCTCCTCCCTTTGCATCCCTGTTTTACGACAACTTCCATGAAAACAAAGAAAATGTCTAAAGTCAGCACCCTTTTCATGATAGCCCTTCTCCTATGCTTCACTCTAACATGCGCTACCATGGATCCTGGTCCGGGATTTAACGCCGAGTCTTCGCTCAAAACTCTGCATGAAAAGGTACATAGAGATAATAAACATTTTCAATTATATTATATTATGGATTTATTTTATTTTCTTAAATTGTTTTTATTAATTTATTTTTATTTTTTTAAAGGATGGTGAAGTGGGGAAGATTTGTGGAGGAAATAAAGGAGAATTGACGACTGAAGAGCGTTTGGCGAGAAAAACGGTCAAAGCACATACAGATTATATCTATAGCCAGAGAGATAAACAACATCCATGAAATCATCAATATATTTTTATATGGCTTAAAAAGTCATACATACATATATATATACACACACACACATACATAAATATAAATTTTTAATATATATTGATCAGTTCTACATGCATTCATAGGTGCATAAATGTAGAGGCTATATGTTCAATTCTTTTGTTGGCCTAGACATTTAAGTTAATTCAGAGATCTAATTGATTGATTCAATGTTTAAGCATGGTTCTCTTATTTTGTTTGTACAAAATTGTAAATAAATAATATTAAATTGAGTTGTTTGTATTATTTAGTATTTTTCAGTGTAGTGATGGTAAAAGTATGAAAAAAAATATTTGGATAAAAATGTCCAATCAAACAATCTAACTTATGCATGTGCATTCTTGGATGCAATGATTCACGTGTCTCATTGTCTTGCATTCAAAGGTGGAGTAATGCTTGGCCATGCTGTTCGGTTAAACTTTTCTACCTAAGTAGCGTGATTTTAAAAGTATTATATTACATATGTTTGAGCTAAAAAAAAACTAATCGGGATATCATAGGTCCTACTCCAAAAATCAAGAGGCATATTTGTAGAGAATAACACTTTTAATATATATATATTGAATGATTGAAATGAACAATTATCTCAAGATCAGAACATGAGTAACTCACATAACATGAGTAAGACGATATTAAACTAATAGGTGTGTTACTTTCGAAGTGAAATGCTGAAAGTTCTAGTCTTTCTTTTTCTTTTTTTCCGGAAAAATAAATAGGTGTGTTACTTTCTAAGGGAAAAAACAAAAAACAAAAAGTATATTAATTGGGTCCGAAGCTTGGGAAGAAGGCAACAGTAGTCGGATATATGTTACATCCCTAAAAGACCAGCCCAACAAAACGTGAGAGCTTGGACCTAAAATGCCCAACTAAATTTTGAGACAACTGGCCTGGTTTCGTAAAACACCCGATAAGTTATTTATTTATATATATATGGCCCAACGGTAAGATTTAAACTAGAAATAGCCTTTCCACTTGGAGATAAATATATATATACATCTGACCCTCATCATATCCTGCTATTGGAGGAGTTTTATATAGTGAACCAGCCACTAGAACTTCAAATTATGATTGTGAACTAACAAAAACATTGTTAAAATTTCTACGATACATATCATGAAAAGTTACCCTGTACACATAATTTAACCAAAAAAAAACATTCATTTTGTACATTATACAATCCGTATAATCCATTGAATTTCACAATCCATATAATAATTCATGTAAAAATAATAAAAAATTATTATTTTTCTTGAACCATAGACCACTTAGTGATCTAATTTAATTTCGTTGTGATGTCTTATTTATTGTTATTATTATTATTTGGGGATAGTTTTACCGTTTATGGGCTCTATAAAGGGATTTGATTGAATTGGACTATGTGATTGGAAAGGAACAAATAATTTTAGGAAAAGATAATACTAAATGGATCTGTTAACAGTGGCGGGCGACCAATTGATATCTAAGGTTTCGTTTGCCATGCGTTTTGTTTGTGTTGTTTTTGTGTTTGGGTTGCCTATAATGTCGATTTTGGTAACAAAAGCAGGTTTGATGTGGCCTTATCTTATTTTACACAATACTAAAACACTTCATGAATAGTGGCCCAAAATCAAAGCACTAAAAAGATGTTTTTTTTTTCCTTGTTTTGACAACGGTTTATGGTCCAAAACCATAATTGTGCATGTTTTTGTTTCTGTTTTCGATATTTCCACATCAAAATATCGTTCTCAAGTGTGCTTTCGATTTTTTTCCAAAACACTCCTACAACAAAAATACGTTTCTATTTTAGTCAAAAACAAAATGCCTAAAACAAGGCGTATGCCAAAAGAGCCCTGGCAAACACTAATAATATTATGATATAAAAAAATAAAATAAAATAAAATGAACCAAAATTTATACACAGGGAAGGAAGTGTTTTTGTAGACCCAGTTGAGGAATAAAAAATTGGGACTTTTTTTAAATTTGAGAATTTTGTTGGACAATGAGTTAAAAAAATAAGAGATCTTTTCAAATTATTGAAAGTTATTTTTAAGGATTTTTGTTTTTTTTTAAGGAATTTAATAGGGCCCGTTTTAAAATTATCAGAAATACAGTATAGAATTAGTAATAACAGAGAAGTCCTGCCCCCATTGAACCCAATGTGACTCCTAACGCTGCCCATTCGTGACACTATATATCATGATATTCTTTAGGTTTTAGTAACTTTGAAGATCAAAATATGCTCGGCCTTCAATATGCCATCTCTAAATTGGCGCCAAAAATGAACATTTCCCGCCATAAACACATCAAAACCAAACCAATTGTCCATATCCCAAAGCAATCGGAGAGTCACAAAACTGGTGTCACAAAAATGGGGAGAGAGAAACAGTACTGGCTGCTGAAGACGGAGGCAGGGGAGTGGTCGTGGGAGGACCAAGCGGCCAACGGAGGGCTATCGAAGTGGGACGGAGTGAAGAACAAGCAGGCCCAGAAGAACCTCAAGTCCATGCGCCTCGGCGATCTCTGCTTCTTCTACCACTCCGGCAACAGAGCCCGCCGCGTTGTCGGCGTAGTCTCCGTGGTGCGCGAGTGGTATGAGGATGATGAAGACGATGGTGGTGGTGGTGGTGGTGCTGTGGATGTGAGGGCAGTTGGGGAGATGAGAAGGCCTGTTGATTTGAAGGAGATGAAAGGGGATGGTGGGTTGAAGGGGTTTGGGTTGTTCCGGCAGCCGAGGTTGTCGGTGGTTCCGGTTCCGGAGGATATGTGGGACCGGATCTGTGAGATTGGTGGTGGGTTCGGGGAGGAGGATGGGGGAGAAGGCGGTGGTGATTCCCAGGCTGATGATTAATTATTTTGGGGGTGGGGGTTAGGGTTTGATGATTTTCGGGCATAATTTTGTGTTTTGTTTTTTGTTTGGTAAGTATTCGCTTACAAATGCCCTATGTAAAACTCAAACTCTGTGGTGCCCAAGTACAGTTCCTTTTTTGTTTATAAATATTTTATGGAGTTTTTGATAATTGGCTATTTAGTTATTTCACAAGTCACAATTTATTGACTCATTTATTTTATTATTATTATTTTAATGGATTCTTTTTAATTCAAAATTTTGTTGTGGAGTAGGTTATTGTGCATGAATTTTCACAATTGCATGAAGGATGCAACATTGATTCAAATTTGTTAGCATATTTGGATTATTTATTAATTTGGATTAGAATTTCTATCTAGTTATTGTTAATGGTTGCCTCCTATAAAAAAATAAAAAAAATTACGATTTTGCAACTAAGCTTTAATTAACTGTTGTCGGAACCCATGTATTAGTTTCTCGTATTTAAGACAGGTTTTGATTTCTTCCTTGGTAGAACTATTATCTTTTTCCAATTGTTTTTTCTTTTATGTATTTTCCTTCAAAACATTTTTATTTATTTATTTATTCTCTATAACTCATATTCATACTATTCCTGACAAAGTTTTTACTCTATTATCCTTTTATTCAAGAGCTTGTCCAGTTGTGTTCAGGAACATGAGAGCATTTGCAGCTCAATCGCCAAGTCCAATCTTCGCGAACAAAGCGGCTTAATTGCGCTGCATCGGACTCGCGGGCTGGTTTGCAGAATAGCCCAAGTCCGAGGTAATATTTTTCAATCAAACTCCTAATACCATTCACCTCACATCCAATTCATTTCTATTTTTCATCATTTTTCTCAATCTTAACTATTATTTTTAATTTATTTTTCTTATCCATAATGAATAAGGTATTGTTGGAAATTATAATATCAATTCTAGTTTTCTTTTTTAGTAATTTGCAAAGATATTATTTGATTGAAAAATATTGTTGTTGAGAAATAATTTTATCATTTTTTATTTTAAAAAACTATATATAATAAAAAGTTTAGTTTTAGAAATATTTCTAATCATTAGGAAAAGGTTAAAAAAAATTAATTTAGATTTAAAATTTAGAAAGTTTGATGGAGTGCCTGTTTTTTAATGTTGCTAATGTAAATCTTAAAAAAGTTGAAAAGGCATCATTAAAAAAAAAAAAAAATTCAGTGAAGCTAGTGCGAATGCTCAAAAGGGATTAACTATTTTGACTTCCTTTGTTTCCTGCCAATAATATTAGCTGGTTAGAAAGTCTTGGCCCTTTACAATATTAATCTCTCTCTTAGTTGAGTGAGAAATCCATAGCATATAAGAATTGGGGTGGAGACGTGAGAAATGATCTTAACTGGGGGAGGTCTTTTCATCTTCTAGATGACAAAATATTCAACTCTCCTATTATATATATTCTATATTTCTTTATAATTAATTAATATTTTTAGCTTCTTAATTCAAACTAGCTTAAAGTTTAATCCTAATGTATACTATTAGTGATGAATGAAGTTTGAGATGGAGGCTTTTTCTTGGCGTCGTGTTTTCTAAGATAGGTTTTGGCCTTTTTCCAACTGTCTTGTTTTGGTTGGACTGAAAATTCATGGAAAATTCTAAGAAAATGAGAAGTTTTTTTTGACTTTCAAAGTGTTTGGATAGGAAGAATTGAAATATTTGGAGAGAGTGATTGATTGAGACTCTTATATCTATTCCAATGATAATATTTTCTTATATACATTCAAATCAATAAACTGCATAAGATATTGTTTTTTTTACATATTTTTTGCACTATCGAATCTAACACATTTGTATTTAGAATTAGAAAAAATTTAGACTAAACTACCAACAATTTCAAATCTATTGCACCGATTTGATGCTCTTAAACATAACATCAAAGTATTTCCTCTAATCAAATACATATAAGTCATATTGTGGAGTACCGATTAAACTAAATTTTAGTAATTTTTAAATTTGAAACGTCGATTGAGTTTGAAAAAAATAGACATTGTTTTCTCAAGGTATCTGTTTCTCCAATGGACATGGATGTATTTGAGAAAATAAGCATTACTATTTATTCTTTGTAATTCAAATTAGAAAAAAATAAATAATAATAATAATATATAACACAGACAACGAATTTCTCAAGTCGTCCTAACACACACATATACACACACACACACATACTTTATTCAACTGAAAAAAAAAAAAAAAAGAAATTATTTTTTTTTTCAAAAGGTAAGAAAATTATTAATTTGATTGGAACTGAAATCCCAACTCTTGTGGCACATAACTTTAAAATAAATTGTAAACTTGACCAACTGTGGTGGTTGCTTTTGATATGATTTTATTAGTAAAAAAATGAAATGTGTTGCACATGTTTCACGTCACTGTTTCACCATGGATTTGTTTATGCTGGCAAGAGTATGATCGGTTGAACATTAAATAAATTAAACATAAAAGAAGTTCATCAAATAATCAATCAGTAATTGTTTAAGGAGGAGACTAGAAGATTCATAAATAAATTGGATATAGGTTGAATAGTTTATAATTTATGTCCTTGGAAAAAAAAATACATATATTCCACATTCAACTTGAAGGAATTGTCCATGTACTGTCAGTGTGTGCTTACTGATGCCATAGTTTAAGACTAAACCAGTTCAAATGTCCGCAAACATAGGAAAGTGTGTTTAATTGTCGTAAAATATTTTTTAAAAAATAAAATAAAATAAATTTAATGAAAAACTTTATTTATTATTTTTTGACAAGTTATTTTATACTATTTCGCTTAATGAATTTGACCTCAACATCTACTTATACCTTTGACAAATATTTAAAAATAAAAATAAAAATATTATTTTACCTAAAAAAAAAAATATTTTCTAAAAAATATATTTTACGTTAAAACAAACAGAGTATAGAGTAGTTTTAATTATATAATTAGAGATGTACAAAAATCGTTAGATTTGTAAATTGATAAATCGATACGAATTGAATTGAGTCGTCACTTTGGTTCGATTTCAGTTATGATTTGAAAGAACGGTTAGTTTACGGTTTCGGTTCCGATTGCAACCCCATTAGGACTGGATAATACTGAATCGAACCGTAAACTAGATATATATATCTACTAATATTGATAAATAATAATATAACATATGTTACAAGCATAAACTACTCACAAGTACATAAGTATATTATAGAAATTTTTAAATTTGTTCCAAAGCTAATGAAAATAATTATTAAAAGAAAATTATGGTATTGGTTCAAATTTTTGAAGAATTGTTAGAATCAGTTCATTTCTAATTTAATTTAAAACCGTAACGAATTAAATCGTATGCATCTCTACTTATATTAACAGTTGTGAACATATTAATCAACAATTTAATATGATGCAATTTTTATTATATTACTTATAACTTAATATGCCTCATTCAATATCTACGTGTAATTTAGTGTGAAGTCATATTGCACTTAGAATGGACTGAATTGAATTGCCGACCATTGGTCAAATTTGGAGTGATATTCACATTTTTGGAAGTTGGACTTGGCTTTTTTTATTGGTGGAACTCAAATGTCAAATATGCAATCGAATTGGTTTTTTATTCGTGGAAATAAATACCTCTTTCTCAAATTGCCATTCACATTGCTAATAAATTACGTTGTCTCTCTCATCATATTGTATTTGAAAGAAATAAAAGAGATTCTGTCCAAATTAGGCATTAAGAAGCGAAACATCAAAAATGGAAACCTACACAACGACAACACACCCAACATTTAGTTGATTCATTCTTGTTACACTAAATTTAAATGACCTTGAATTCACCTCTTCACAATGAAACAAATTTAGACTATGAATATTTTATATTTAAATACACATTTATCAACCATGTAACAATCATGATTTTTCTTTTCTTGTTTAACCATAATTTGACCAATTTTAGTCTAAATTGATCAAATAACCTAATATGAAATTGTAAATAAAAATATGAGCTCGTATCAATCATTTTATATCTTGAATTAATTATCATCCAATTGAAATTGTACTAAAAAAAAAAAAAGTGAGTGTGTAAATGTATTTTTTATTAATAAAAAATGAACAAATAAAAACAAAAAAAAGGGGGCAAAATACAAGTTGATGTATAATAATTTTTTTTTAAGAACGGGGCATTTTAGAGAAATAATTGAATGATTTCAAATTAATAAATGACCGACACGCAAGTAAACAGTGATGCAATTACTTGCATAATAGTCATTTTTTTTTTTATTCATGACAATAATGTTAGGAATTAGTTGTCAGCATGATTCGTATCGGCCGTCGTGATGTAACGGAGTTCGGCAAATATTAATGTAAATTGATTAATTTATGAATATATACCATATCGATCTCTTGAAAGAAGATTGTACCAGTTGATACCACGAATCATGGTTATTAGAGGAGTCCAAGGCTGAAATGGGCTCTCGAACGGAAAAAGTAATCCAATAACTCGGACAATACGGCACTTGCACATGATACTCAGTTATAGGCTGAAAACCATTACTTGGGGGATTATGTAATAATTATCCGCCTTGTACTTAAAAGAAAATAATAATAAAATAAAAAATAGAATAATGTGTACGGAGTAATATTATTTAAAAAAAGAGGGGGTTTTATTACTCTCCAGTCTAAACGCAATGGAAGTCAATAGGTGATGAGCGATGACGTGGCGACATCAATAGTGGACACACGTGCTGTACGTTCCCCGAGACCAGCAACATTAAGAGGAATCAGAGTCTTTGAAAAACTCTCTATAAAGTTTAAACTTCAAACCAAACCATATTGAAACAACGAACGACCATTTCCAGTGGTTCTGTGTTTTCGATTCTCACAGTATATACATACATATATATATATATATATATATATATCAATAGATGGCGAACCAGTTGGGGAATTTAGTGCAATCGATAAAGTCAAAGGTTCGAGCCCTGAAGAAGTCGAAGAAGCCGTACATCAAGATGGACAAGAGCTCGAGTGTGAAGGTGGAGATCCGTAGCAAACAGGCTCGCAAACTCATCGACAAGACTCTCAAAGTCGCCGATCGCCCCGGCAAGCGTACCGTTTCTTGATACACTCTCCCACTTATTCTCTCTCTCTCTCTCTCTCTCTCTCTACATATCTATATGTGTGTATGTATAGGTATGAATTTGATGGCCGATTCTGTGTTTTTCCGGCGTCAATTATTAGCGATTTGTCTTCGCTTTCTTCGCGTTTGGGTTTGGAACCGTTTCGGTTTTCATTATTAATCATGCGATTCTAATTATGATTTTTTTTTTATTAGTCATTTATAGAATTGCTGTAGTGGATTACTTAAATCTCTGTTGGGTGTGAATGTGAAATCTCCATAATCGAGTTGTCTCTCCTCAGAGAGATGTTGTTAATGTAGATCATGAAAATTAATTAGAAGTATTATTATTCTAATTACAAACTGATAAATGCTAATTATTTAGTGTATACCACTTATAATTTTAGGGAGGTGATAAATATTATAAAATGACATTATTACCTTGCATTGATGTTATTTTTCGTTTAAGAAAAATGAAAAGGAGTGCATTTATTTATTTTAATAAAAAAGTGGTGGGCATTTATTGTTTTTAGTTATAATAATATTATAATGAATTTGAATTTTACTTACCCTCTTGGAATATAATTGGTTGTAATTTGTAATAAGGCCAGGCCACCTTGGTGGTTGTATATTAAAAAATTATTAAATTGCATTTAAGTTTAATTACACAATTTCATGAACTATGTGTATAAATTTTAAACTAATTTTTTTTTATTATTTACAAGGATAAACTATATATTTATTCAACTCACATCTTTTCGTTGGATTGTTAAATCAACGTTAGAGCACACTATATTACATTTATTGCAATATATTATGCATTATGTTGCAGCACTCCAGTATTATTACATTTAGAATTCAACATTTTTATATTTCGCTATAGTAAAATTGGAGCATTAAAATTAAAATAAATTGAATTGAAGAAAGTTTATTTTAAATTTATACAATTTGATTATTTTTTTTTATTTTAATTTTAAAATTTCAATTTCATACAACAATATTTAAAAATTTTAATTTCATGCTGGGGAACCTAAAATTCAATATTGTAGGGTGTTAATTCAATATTGGAATTAGAGAGGGCTCGGTGGTCCAACTCTGGAAGGGAAATGGAATGGGTCCCGCAGGACTGAAAATGAGAGTTAGAAGTGAGATTGTTGCTGCCATTTCAATGTCCGACGTGGGACCCATAAATAATGGGGGGGTGATGGAGGGACTTTAAATGTGTATTGTCAGACTCCATCACTGTTGAGAAGAGATCATTTTTCTAAGGGATTATTTTCATAGGTTATGGGCAGAGTTAGGGTCCATTTGTATTGTCATAATCATATTTATACATGACGCATTTAATAATTATATAAAAAATTCTTAATATTAATTAAATTTATTTATTAAACAAATTATACATATTAACTTATTTAATGATCTATCAACCAAAATTAGATATTATATTATTTAAAATACTTAATCAAATAATAAATATTAAAAAATATATACATTAACAAAAAAATTAATGTATATTTTTATTAGAATTTATATTAAAATAATTTAATTATCCATAGTAAATGAGTAAATTTTTTTTTTTTTTAGTAATGGACTCTAAATAGGTAATGAGTTTACACTTGTGATATTAACACAATTATGAAACTTTTAGTTAAACTGGTATAATCGAGTTACATGTGTTGAACCCTCAATTCTAATATTACATGATTATTTAACGGGTTAATTGTGTTATAGAGTGTCGTGTTTGAATCGCATTGACGAGTTAAGTTTTACCACCCTAATCAAGATTTATTGAATTTTGTCACCCTTAATTAGAGATGTACCTTTAAAAAAACAACTCTAATAGCCCTAATTTTTTTGTCAAGCTCATTTTATTTTTTTATTTTGGGACACTCATCACAAAAGAGATATGAACTCTTATCAAAAAATGTATATAAATTTAAAAAATGCTATTTTAATTTAACAAAAAAAAAATAAATTTAATACAGACAAAAAGATCTTGACAGTAGAGTGGCTTCGATTCAATCCATTGTTGGTGTATTTTGGAAGAAGTGCACCAAAAAGGAGGCCTATCCTGTCATGATCCCAACTCCCAACCACGCACTGAAATAATTATTAAGAGGAAACATTAGGTGGTGGCTAAATGGTTTCACAAACTTTTATTTATTTATTTATTTTGACTCAAGTGACATCGGATAAACGATTCGCCAACTAAAAATAATTACATGCACTTGATAGTATTTGTCATTCATTACTCGGCACTTAATATATATATATTTTATTTATGTGAAGTTGGCAGCGGTTGAAACAACAATTTTGCAGCTTGGGAGGCCAGAGAAGAATGTATGAAGAAAAAATTGAAAGAAAAATTTAGATATGTTTGGTTTGTAATTCTAAAAAAATATATAAAATAGAAAATTATTTTTAGAAAAATACAAAAGACCATTTTTTAAAAAGGTATATTTTTTATAACTGAATTTTCATAAAACAGTTATCGAAAAATTAAATAAAGCAATAATAACTAAAGACAAAATTATTTTTACAATTACAAATCAAATAAGCATTTAGCACTTTGTTTGAAAATAATGAATAATGCGTTTGTTATTTATATATATATATATATTATATATTAAGAATGCTCCTCGACAAAATTGTAAAAGGAATGAATATATGAGTAGGATATCTAAGTTGAACTCTTATGACTTAGCTTAAAACATTGCGGCATAATTAAGTTGATTCGCTTAGGGAATGAAAAATTGAAAAAAGGCACGTAACTTGATTTTAGTGGAGTGAAGCATTTGATATTACACGGCACTTGAAATGATGCTTCCAAGGCCAGTCATTTGTGGAGAAAGTGGACTCCACCACCAGATGGTAATCATGGTAGGGTTCCAAGACTTTTCTATATTTTGTAACAACGGTCACTTTCAACTATCAATATTCTAGCCACCTCATGTGCGTATATGTCTATGCTCCCATCTTGACTTTTATTTTATTTACAACGTGCAAGATTTTAAAGTCTTTTCTTGAATATAAATTTAAAACATGAATTCGGTACTTCTACGCATAATATTCAGAAGAGAACGGCTTGAATTTGTATCTCAAATTTTATAACCAGGCTTTTTATTGTGTTTATCATGGAGGAAAAATGAATTTTTATTTTTTTAGCACGTGGGAAAATGAATAAAACTTGCATCAAAATGGAAACTAGTAAAAAGGGTTTTTATTTATATAGTGGCGCTCCAAAATTGTACTCAAGTGCTCCATTTTTATTTACTCATAAATCAAATGACAAAAATTACCATCAACTCTCTCTTCTTTGATTTCTACAACTCTCTCCAAATTTTTTTTTATAATTTCTATCTCTTTTCTTACTATCTTTGTAAGTCTTTCTTTTTAATTTCAACTAAATCACAAGGCCTACCATCAAATTACTCTCTATTTTCTCTCTCGTTCGTATGCTTCATGTTTTTAACTCGAATTGAATCATGAATGTTCCAAACTTATGTCATTTAGCCTTCTTCAATTTAAGTTTAAAATTAAAAAAAAAAACAAATAATTAAGAACATTGAGTTTCTATTTCTATCAAGAGGCAAAGCTATCAAAGTTGGAAAAATATATACTTACTCGGCAACTAAAAAAAAATCTAAAATTGAAAAGTTATGGAAGAAATAAAATGACTTTTAGAGAGATCATAAACACTACACAATTTATGATTATAATCTTTGGAGTTTTTATCGGGCAATGTTTATCTTGTTGAGTTGTTGTCCTCATTTTCATCATCAAGATTGTCTAAATAATTTTGTTTTCATCTTCATTCTTTCTCTGTTATGGGTTCTTCTTCAATTTCTCTCTGTATTGCTCTAATTAATCTTTCTTTTTTTTTTTTTTTTTCAAGTAGATATGTTGACAATATTTTGGGGTTGTTTTTGCCATTTATTTTAAAAAGATATAGAGGTGGAGTGCCTAGTATAATATTGCAGTGTCAATATCAGCTTCCAAAAGTGTGTGTATATATATATATATAAATCATATAGTACTACTATATTAGAAACTAGAAACTTAAGACAGAGTCATGATGGAACCTTTTTTGGTACACCACCAACCCAATCAGATGGACCAGAGGAAGAGTTTGTGGATGAAAATGAGGGACATCTCATCTCCTACATCAATTCAATCTGAGTTTTCAAGAACATCAAAGGGACCGAGTGTTCGGTTTGCATAAGCCAACCCCCTCCCACTTTCTCTCCCTCTATATCTCAAAACAAAAATTTTGCAAAAAAAAATATATATATAAAAATGTGTATTTCTATCAAAAAAAACACACACACATTGTGTGCATGCTTGGGCCTAGCCCATTAGTCATAGTTTTTGGTGACTAGATGGACCAAAAAAAAAAAAAAAAAAAAAAAAATACTTGACCAGATGATACTATAATAGAAACTTAAAACAATCATGAATGGAATTCAGGGGTTTGGTTTCCTCCATCTTCAGCTTTTTCAAAGTGAAAGGTCATCTTCAGCCTTCTCCCGAATGTGGACTGAGAGATCCAATTTTACGAATATATGGGTCTCAAAACAGTCACTTTGTGCAGTTCACTTGTACATACTGCATGTACGTAACTAGGAGGCCCAACTCCAATCCTCCAAGTGGCGAGACACACACTCTCAACTATCATCTTTGTCATGGTTCATCCTCGAAACAAAATTTCCTTTTATCTTAGAATAAAGATGATTTTTAATGCATTTAAGACTGCTTTTATGACTACATGAGAATTGTATATATATAGATTAACATTTATTTATTGGCCAGCAAAAAAAAAAAATTGTTAATTTGTAAACTTGTTATTAGTATTTTGAGCAATTTATGTATAAGTGAGGATGAAACCCATGAGCATTTGTTCTTTAAATGCAGCTTCTCCTCCTACATTTGGGATCATGTTTAACATACATGAGGTTTTTACTGCGGTGAGCGTAATTATACATTCATAGCCAAATGGATTAACAATGTTTGGAATGACAATTGCAATTCTATGGATGCCATAACAGTTAGACTATGTTTTTATGTTGCTGTCTATTTTATATGGAAGGAAAGGAACAAACGTACCTATGCTGGGAAAGTTTCCTCCCCTCACGTGGTGTGGAAGCTTATTGAAGACTGTATTCGTAACTGGCTTCTTTCCATGAGGTTCAAGACTCTAGAAGATCTCGGAGTGTGGCTGCGGATTTGAGACTACCAAGTGTAGTCATTGATAGCAATACTGGAACTGACTGAGTTTTGCTCTTGTTTGTATCTCTGTATTGCTTGTTCCCTCTGTTTTGATTTGTATGGAGGGTGTGTTTTGCCTTCGGGCTTCTTTGTTGGGCCTTAGTGCCTTGTTTGTTGTTTCTTTTTTGGGCTGCCTTTTTGGGTAGCCTATGTATTTGTTCGTTTTTTGCTGTTAATAAATTGACTTGCCCAAAAAAAAACAAAAAACAAACACAGAAAGTATTTTGTATTGGAAAAAACAGTTATGATAAGAGCACTATCATGTGACGCTTTTAATTGGAGCAATAAAGGCGCAACCTCATAACCAGAGCACCATCATAAACTTGCTCTTTTAGGTATGCTCTCGTGACACCAATTAATTCTTTCCATTGAAAATGATGATTTATTTTGGACAGTTTTTATTTTTATTTTTTATAAGATATACTCGTAAGTATCCCAACAACTAATGTATATAAACAAAACTCATGAGGTATATAGGTAAGGATACCATTTATGTAGTGCCCATTTAAGCGACACAAAAAAGGCATGCATTTTTAAAAAATAAATTATACAATAATAAGGATTTATTATTGAAATGAATGAAAATAATGATCTACAGCACAACATAACATGCAATTAGTCATATCTATATTGCAGTACTCCAATCCATCTAAATGAAATGGGACAAAAGTTGTCACAATGTCACCATTTTCGTTATGTTCTTCCACATTTTATTTTTATAACAGGCAATAGACGGTCTAAGAATATTCAGACAGCTATCCATATTAAAATTTATTATCCTAAAAATATTGTTTTACTAATTTCCTTTCCCTTTTATGTCAAAGAATTTTTTTCCATTGCCTACAAATTTGACATACTATGCATCATTTTATTGTTGTCCCTACTCCTGGGGTTAATTTTTAATTTTTTGCATTATATATTATATATATATTTATATATATATATATGGTTGAAAGAGTCAACACGTTGTTAACTGTAACGTACCCTTTTAAAAGTTTCCTCATATTGCCGTCCCATTCAAGAAGCCTTTGAAGCTCTCTTTTAAAGCAAGAAAACACATCAATGATCAAAACCAAATCAACCATTATAACCTCTCCATTTTTCAAAACCCTAACTCTCTATTCATTCTAAGCTTCATTGCAATTGTACGTTGTTAAACTTTGCCATCTCGGTGTTAACATGACAACTAAAGCGAACAAGCAAAGTAAGTTGATGCAGTACATTACAACACCGTTTAGAATTATAGGCATGACAAGGGATTTCTACACGAAGACCATGTTTGATTGTGCCGGGAGGATTGGTGAAGGCAGCGTGGTTGCCTGTCACACCGCGCAAGTGTCTCACATTCCCACCAAGTTTGATGTTTACTTATCGAATGTGAAGAAGGAAGATGATCATGTTAGGGAGCTTCTACGAGCCGTGCCTAATAAGAGGGAATTGGATGGGAGGATCATGGAGTCCAATGTCCCTCAGGGACAACCGGCCGGCATGGGGTGTGGGAGGAGTTACAGTGTTGGAGTTGGAAGGATTGGGAGAATTGATGAGGACAAATCTTGTGATTTTGAGGAAGATGAGTTAGTTGTTAAGGGGAAGGAAGATTTGTTTCATACAAGAAGCAGAAGTTATGCTGTTACAAAGAGGAATCCAGTGTATTACTAGAGAGATTATATATTTATATCACCACTTCATTATACAGGTGAATCTATACATTAAATATATAGGATGGTTAATTTTAGTTCCTTGAATGGCCAAGTATGTATAAGGGTTTTGTGTGTGTGAGTGTGTGTGTAAAGTATATGGATAGAGAATGATTTCCCACTCTTAATTGTTACCACTTGTTTTCTTCATACATAATAGAAGTGTAATCAATATAGTGACATTTCGTTCGCTTGATTGCTCCCAATTTTTTTTTTTTTTGGTGTTGAAAATTAAGGAGAGCTCTCTCTTTCAATAAAAGAGATTGGCCAAAAATTTACTAAAATATTACAGTACTATGATTTTTTTTTTTTCCTGATCATTTGGGTATATCTCAACGTCATTAATTTGTGATTAACTCTATGCTTAACATAGGAGATTTCTTTGTAGGCTCCATTTGTTTCAAAGTCAAACATTTTACATGTAGGTTCTGTTTGTTTTGGCGTAAAACATATTTTGAAATATAATTTTTACAATTTTTGACATTTGATTGCACTTAACACCAAGTAAAATTTTACTTGTAAAATGTTTTGTGTCATTTTAGTGAAAATGACTAACTGGTCCAAATACCGTAAAACATTTTAGCAATGGCTTTACCATATGGTCCACATTCTATGTCGACGTTATCCAACACCTCACACCTCGCTCAACTCTAGCCTCACTCTTGCATCAACCCATTTTAAGGGGTTAATCGGGTCTCCATCATACCAGCCTCACTCTAGTCATGCCAACTACCCACGTGAATTGGGCGATTTTGGGCACCCAAAAAAATTATTCACCTAATTTTCCTATGTGTGAGAGAGAGAATCAAATCATTTCTGGTGTTACCTAATAGTATACGAGGTTAGTTATTCAAAAGTCTGTTCTTGTCTTGGAAACTTTAAAAATTCGAAAATGCAACTCAGATGCCTTTTATTTTATTTTTAATACTGTCCCACCTGGTTACACATTCTAAAATTGGTGTTTAAAATTTTTCCCCAAACATATTTACACAGTTGAGTAGTGTCAAAGATATTGTAATTTGATTATTATACTATTGAAAATATTGCAGAGGGAGGTTTTGGCACGGATTTATTTTTTGCCAACTCAATCCATTGAATTTGTTTATCACTAGAGTCTAGAGTGCTGTTTTGTTGTCCTTTCTAGAGCGTGAAACTATATCTTTTCTAGTGCTCTAGTATGAGAAAATAATTAGTTAATATCGTAAGTAATTTTAGATCATAAACAAATAATTTCACTGTAGCTCTTTAAATAAAGAAAAACATATTTACCTAACTGTCAAGAAGCACCCAGTCAATTTAAACTGTTTTGGTTCAATTAGGTATATGCCCCTCCTGCTGCTTTCTACATGATCATACTTCCCTAAATTGGCAAAACTGGATTGAATCTCTCTCTCTCTCTATTTTCTCTCTCTAACCCATATATAATAAGAATTGGTGGACTGGAGGTTATAGCTCTCAGTCAATACACATTTCTTGTCCATTTAAGAAAACCATAATGGCAACACCACTATCCCTCTTACTGGTCTAAACATTTGAAGCTACCAAGTTACATAACAATGTTGCTGCGTATATTCATTATATTGTCTCTCTCCCACATTGCTCTCTCACAGTCCAATGTCACTTCTCTACCTGGTTTTCCCGGTGATCTTCCCTTCAATCTCGAAACTGGGTTAGTTTATTTTCCTTTTATTCATTGTTGTTTTATACTCCATTTGATTTATGGGTAAATTACACCGATCTCTCCAGAATTTTAAACAACATTATTATTTTCTAACATTTATGGTAGGTTAAGGATTTTATCCATACCAAAAAGAATGTTCTTTTTGCATAGTAAAATTTTTTAAAGGGACACCTAAGCTATGTATTATTCCCTGAAAAATAGAATGTCCTAGAAATTGTCCATTAAAGGAGTATAAAATAACAATTTTACTCCTCCTCCTCTTCTTCTTCTTCTTCTTCATTTTTTTTTTTTTTTTTTAATATAATATAATTTATTATTATAATATAAGGGTATTATTAACTTTTAACATTCAAAATCTGGCTACCAGTGAATAGGAGTTTAGGTTTAGAGGAGGTTGTGTAATTTGTAGTAGGGTGGATTATGAATGTTTTTGTGTGTGAAGTTACATTGGTGTAGGAGATGCAGATGAGGTGCAGTTATTCTATTACTTCGTTGAGTCGGAGAACAGCCCAAAAGATGACCCTCTTCTGCTTTGGCTCAACGGTGGTCCTGGTTGTTCTGCTTTGTCTGGCATCCTATATGAAATTGGTATGTTTCTCATCCTTAATATCGTCTTCTTCAATACAATCACACACACACACACACATATATATAGCTATATGCCTCTGTTATTTGAATATGCTGTGATAGATGTCATTCTATAATTAATTCATGTATCATAAAATATTCAAATTACCGTATTCTAATAAATTAGAATGCATCACGAATTAGATTATATATATATATATATATATATATATATATATATATAGCAATGTTTCTCATCCTTTAATGGACAATTTCTAGGACCAATGTTTCTCATCCTTTAATGAACATTTTCTAGGACGGAGGTGGTGAGTGTGTGTACACGTGTTTGTATATATATGGAAATTTGAAAAAAGAAAATATACATTTATTGATTGAAAATGCAAAAAATTTGAGGGGGTTATTAGCATTCACCATATTTTTATGGTTATAATTTTAAATTTTGAGAGGGTTCAGTACTACACCATAGTTTCTTCATGATGATGCAATTTTCACTCTTTGGGATTTGTTTGAAATAATAGATAACTTGATTTATAAAAATGAGGCCAATTTACTATTTATTACTGTGTGTGCCGTTCTAGTATTTTCCAAGAGTACAAAACCCTCTCCCAATGAGGATCGAACTCAATTGACCATAGGGCTTCAAAATTGGGTAAAGTGGTTCCGAGCCCCGACTTGCTAGTATTATTATTATTATTGGGTGGATGAACTTGGAATGAATTTGGCAAAGGAAGATCAGTTTGTCAATTATTAGAAATGGTTTGATGTCTTTTTATTTTTGTGTAGGTCCTTTCACTTTTAACTATGAAAATTCCACTAGGGGCAAACCAACCTTGGAGTTGAACCCATACTCTTGGACAAAGGTATGAAATTTTTGCCTTACTGCTTTACATGTTACAAAATTTATCTGACCAATTGATGTGAACACATAATGCTTCATTCTAAATTTTTAGGTTGCCAACATTATATTCTTGGATTCACCTGTTGGCACCGGATTCTCCTACGCGAAAACTTGGGAAGCTTACAACACCAGTGATACGCTAGTGGTGGAACAGGCTTACAGTTTTCTGAGGAAGGTGGGGGTGATTTAGTGAACTAATGACGAAAATGATTCTGTGTTGCATTTTCGAGTTGGACACATAATGCTTCCTTCTATAATCAAAGTTTTTATTATTTTTGGGCTGTGATGCAGTGGCTTGTGAATCACCCTCAGTTTGTCGACAATCCCCTATACATCACTGGTGATTCCTATTCTGGGATGATAGTTCCGGTCGTTGTTCAAGAAATATATGATGGTACTTGTGATAATGAAGAGCAATTTATATGTTTAATTTATGCTTCATCACCAATGGGAAAGAGAACAAAAAATTTCAAATGCAAATATTTATGATTTTTAACTTCTGTTTGGGTGGTTTTGTTGTAGGTAATGATGCCGGAAATAAGCCACAGATGAATATCAAAGTACAAGATTCTGTTTAAGAATTCACTTTTACCTACGTTTTATTTATAATTTTTTTTATGGGACCAATATTCATTGAATTGAACCAGGGATACGTGCTTGGCAACCCAATAACAGATCAATATAACGACTTCAATTCCAGAGTCCAATATGCTCATAGAGTGTCACTTATATCAGATGAACTTTATGAGGTAATTCAATTTCATATTTTAAGTGAATCTTTAAGCCTTTTCGTTTTATTTCCTCTTCCTATCAAAAATATTATTCATTTGGTTTTGCATATGATTTTTTCTCAAATTATTTACCCTACATGTGCCTGATTGTAATGTCAAACCATGTTCCCCTAGACCAACTGCATTTAAAATTGCAATGCTTTCTTATTTCAGTCAACTGAATCAAGTTGTGGAGGCAATTACATGGTTGTAGATCCTGACAATTCATCATGTGTAAATTTACTTAAATTGGTAAATGAGGTGAGCAGGATCGATCATTGTTTTGTTTCTCATACAAATCTTGTCGTCCTTCATGTTTTACAGACATTGTTAACATTTTTATCCATTTGGTTGCAGTGCACCGAGGATATTAATACGCAACACATATTGGAACCTACATGTCATCAATTGTCACCAAAACCAAATTTATTAGAATGGGACCCAAGCATTCTTCAAGAAAATCCGGAAAATCTCCTACGCACACTTCCACTTCTTCCCAAACCATGGTGTCGAGTAAATCCCTCTCTCCCTAACATAAACTTTTATTGAATTTCAGAAATGTATGATTGTTCTTGAACAATAAAGTTTATTACCTTACATTTTAACCTCTTTTTTATTTTATTTTTTTTGTTGTAGAATTATAATTACTTGTACTCCTACATTTGGGCTAATGACAAAACTGTCCAAGAAGCTCTTAACATTCAAGAGGTAGGTTGATCTAAACAGAGTGGTGCCATATACAGAGTATATATTATAACGACATGATTTAATCGGACGGTTTTGTGATGAAAACCAGGGTACAATAACGGAGTGGTTAAGATGCAATAAGAGCATCTCTTACACTTACACGTATGATTACACTAGTGTTTTGGACGTCCATCGGAATCTTACTAATAAACCTTGTCGAGCTCTAGTTTACAGGTGATTTATTGAACCTTGGAACTGGAATAGTTGGCAATTTACATACATTTATAGACATATATTTCCTATGCTTATGTTTGAAGTACTAATTATAACCATTTCCTTCTACGAACAAAATACTCCTGACAGCGGCGATCACGACTTGATTGTTCCATATGTTGGTACGCTAGAATGGATTGAGTCTTTGACATTGACGGTTGATACTGATTGGAAACCATGGTTTGTTGAAGGTCAAGTTGCAGGGTTGGTTCCTAAACTTCTAAAACTTTCACCCAAAATAGTATTGATCATCTATAAATCACTAAAAATAGAAAAACCAATCACTAATAGTATATGAATGCAACTATTTATGTTATGTAGATTTACAGAGAAGCTTACAAATATCAAGTACTGGTTGACATTTACAACTATAAAGGCAAGGAAATATCCAATTCAACTTCTCTATTAGATTATTTTTAGCAAGTAAAATGTGAAATTGATTGTGTTTATTCTGGCTTTGTATAGGGAGGAGGTCACACAGCGCCGGAGTACAGGCCCAAGCAGTGTCTTGCAATGCTTAGGAGGTGGTTGGGTCATTTCCCTCTGTAGTTGAATTTTGTAGCTCTAAGTTCATTTACAATTCAACTTCTTATGAGTGAGCTTTTTCTAAGTGTGATCCCTCTATATCTTTCTTGATGTAATCAGAACTATGTTTTAAAGAGAAATAACTTTGATTTTGAATATAAAAGCCCAATGATGGTCATTTTTGTTCGATTTGAAGTAAGCCTGGTTGGTATAGATGGACTGGAATAATGTTTTTGTAATTTGTATCTTATATATGTCATTGTTCCTCTATCCCTCCTTTTTTTTAAAAAAAAAAAATAAAAAATGATACCTGTGGTTTGATACAATTTGCTATCTCTTGATATCTTCGTTAATCATATATGTTACAATATTCAGACATTTGGTCATTATAAATAAAATTGCAAATGAGAAATAAGGATATATAATATACCATTCAATACCTCCATCACCGGTTCTCCTATCTCTGGGTCTCCATGGTGGGAAAATCATACATCCTTTCGCAACGCGTTTCGGGCTTATGCGAGTTGGTCGGTTTTCTGCCGTTGATTTGATTATCCTTCCTATTGTTCCGGCCAGTGTTGAGTTTACTCCGGCCGACATTGACTATGGGTCATGACTGGGTGTTGCCGGAAATTGTTGTCAGAGCAATATTTGGTGCGGAGGACTTCTCGACGATGTATCAGGATTTCTTGCAAAAATTTCGGGGATGGTGTTTCGACGGTTTTTTCTCCATACCTTCTGTCAACTGTTCTTATGCCCCAACGTTATCATCGAACATCGCGTTGTACTCTGTGGGGTCCAATTGTGGCTTATAAGTCAGCATCTATTCTATTCCCTATTTGGTTGATGCGTGAAGGAGACGCCAGTCACGTCTGTTCTAGAAATCTGGAGTTATTACATATGAAGTGGATCAAGGGTGGTCAGACGGTTTCTCAAAAGTCAATACTTATGATGGTCCTGGTCCTGGTCCTGGTCCTGGTCCTGTTCCTGTTCCATCAGTGTATTCCCCTCTCTTCAGTTTTTTTAAGTCTACAACCTAGTTTACTGTGTCTTTGATGGAGGGATGTTTGTGTATTTTGATATTTTTTTATCTGCAAGTGCGGTTTTGCTCTTCTGTTTGTAGGGTTTAAAAAAAAAAAAAAAAAAAAAAAAAAAAAAAAAAAGCCTCACTATCCTTCTCACCGCAAGGCAAGTATGAATGAATAATGACAGTCCGGCTCAAATGACCTATAAAAATCTCACGTATCAAATTCGTAGAGGCATAAAAATCTACATTAGCTTGCTTGGCAATAGTCTTCTCAATGGTTTAAACTAGTTAATTGAGTCAAGACGATGGAATGTATGTCCCTAAACGACATAATCTATTATGTGTCAACTTACTTTAACATGGTATACAAGTGAAAAGTATCTATAAGAGTTGACACCACCAAAGGCTTTAACAGTATAACCTACTTTCAAAAGACCAATACAGAAATAATTGACTACACTTGAGACCCATTTACTCATTGCTCATCTTTAGACTTTTTGCGACATATTTTTAGAATAATTTCACTGTTATTCTCTCAATTTTGATCAAATATTAAAATTTTTATCAAATATCAATTTCACACATCTTTTAAAAATAATTATCAATCACATTACAAACGTTTGTTCCGTTTTTCACTCACACCTTAAAAGTTAATTGTTAAGTATGTTAGACCACTTTTACCTACCTTTGACCTTAGTTGGACCCATTTAATTACTTTTTTAATGATACAAATGACATTTTTACCCTCGTTTGACTTGATTTTTCCAATTAGACTTCAAGAAGGTATGTTAATATCGAACTAGAATTTCCCCAAACCTTCATTCAGCAGTTTGTGCTGTTGGTTAATACTAAACTTGAGTTTACCCAAACCTTCCATTGAGCAGCACGTGGTGCTTTTTTTTTTTTCCTTCATCTTTTCCTCTGACAAAATGTTAGGAGTTTTTACTTCACTTTGGAAGTTTAATTCTTTGTTTACATGTTTCTATTTTTATTTATTTATTTATTATTGCTAATTCACTATGTTTCCCATACTTGATAATCTGACTGATATCAGCAGAACAATATTGGTATGAATGCATTGTATCGGACTGGTAGGGCAAAAAAGTAGAGGTTTTGATTGTTTTGATCAATTCATTATTCTAGACTAAATTTGTTCTTCACAACAGATTCCCGAAGAGGAGAAAAACCTTGGCCCCCATGATCGCTTGATTCATGTTTATCACTTTATGAAAAACACAGCTCCGAACCACTTGGTAAGTATCTACAGGAGAAAGATATCAGAGACGCCGTTGTGCGTGCATTGTCCTGTGCTGGCGTTGAGATTCTTTAATCTATCCTACTTACCAAAATAAAAAAAATAAAATTACTTTAATCTAGCATTCACAGTAAACTGAGATTCTGGGGTACTAGTATTCAAAATTTTCTTTTTTTTTTTTAGGGTAAAGGTATATGGCTCGGAAACTAGGACTTGATGGTATGAAATTTGAACTCTAGAATTACGACTCTGAAACTAAAGTATCATGGTTTTGTTAAGACGTGGGTCATATCGATTTGTAAAGAAGAAAGAAAGACATAATAGAGGAGACGAGTGTGGTTGGTAGGTAGGTGAGAGTTTAATTGGGGGTATAAAAGTCATTTATATTATTGGATATTTTGAAATAAATATGATAAAAAAATTAGGGACAAAGATGTCTTTTCTCGTGTTTTTAATGGAGACTTTGACGGAAAAACAAAAATGAACCTAAGTGATAGTTATTTTCGAAAGATATTTGAAACTGATATTTGCCAAACCTAAAGAGGTGCCAATGAAATTAACTCTATATTTTCAGTGATCCGAAAAATAGAATCCACAACTCAAGTCTTTGAATTTTTTTTTTTTTTTTCTTTTTTTCGCAAGCATAAACCATGAATTGTTTAGCGTCAAAAAAGCATGTTAAAAACTCAGTCTTTATGGTAGATGATGTTTCACACATTTTCGTTTTCATGACACTGCTCTTCTACTCAAAAGAAACATAAAATTAAGACTAAGTTTCTTACCATTCACATATCTACCAAAATTTGAGTTTGATCTAAAACCCTCCTTATGAAAAGAACTAAAAATGCTACGGACTTATTGAAATATTGTCTTGGGGTTTTATGCAATTGGCCGAAACTTGTATAAAATTATAATTTGCTAAGGAAATGTCACTTTTAGTAATTATTTTTCAATGATAAGATTCAAATTAATATGAATAACTCATTCAACATAGAATTATTAAAAACTATTTTTGAAATTTTTTTTCAGTGGATTATATTTGTATAGAAAATCTATTAGATGCGCCTAGAAGAAAATTTAAAATACCTTGAAATAACTTTTAAAATTTTCTTAAGTTTATATATTTTTAAAATTAAGAAGGAAAAGAAAATCTAAAATAAAACTGAATTTTATTAAATTAACATTAAGGATATTTTTATCATTATAACTTCACTTCAAAAGTGCGTAAGTTTTATTAAGGGGCTATTATTATTATTATTACTTATATATAAATAAAAAAAACTATTATTATTATTATTATAATATTACTAACCATAGCCTATCAAACCATTTCATCTTCACAATCTACGTAAATATGCCTCCACCGCCCCCACTCTCTGATTTCATTTTCACAGCTCTCTCTCTTCCTCATCTAAACCCAACAATATCAATATTTTCTACAAATTCCCACCCCCAATCTCATTCTTACAAAACCCCCGTCGCTTTCTCAGAAACCTCATCATCATGTCCCAAACTAACCGTAAAAGAAACCCTAATCACCCCTTCGCCTCCCGCTCCCCCTCCGACTCCTCCTTCTCTTGGGGGGTCAAGCTCGGTACCAAGAAAGTCCACAACCTCTGCCTCGAGCTCTCCGAGGGAGAGACCTTACTCGCTGACTCCACCCATCCGGTCCGGACCGTTGAGGTCATAAGATCGTTCGAGTAATCGGTAAAGATGGTCGAATTCTCCTGGAATCGCTCCAAGAATTGTCTGATGGCACTGTTCCGAGCCGGTCCCGGCCGTTGTCTGAGAAAATGAAGGTCGGCGAGACCGTTGAATCCCCCATTAGTCGGGCTGTGAAAGAAGAGCTTGGATCGATAATTCGGAGTTCAATTGGCAGTTTTGAGGAATGAGGATGGTACCTGATTCTTATGAGAAGAACGTAGAGGAAAAGGGTTTCGGCTACCTAATTGTCTCTCTCTGTCTAACTACGACAATTGGTGGACTGGAGGATACAGCTCTCAGTCAATACAACTTGGGTATTTTCACATTTCTTGCCCATTTAAGAATCCATAATAGCCACCACCACTACCACAAACTGTTCATAAACATTTGAAGCTATCTCTTATCCAATTCCACCACCTACACAAGTCATAAAATGTTGCTGCGTATATTCATTATATTGGCTCTCTCCCACATTGCTCTATCACAGTCCAACGTCACTTCTCTTCCAGGTTTTCCTGGTGATCTTCCCTTCAATCTTGAAACTGGGTTTGTTTATTTTCTTTTTTTTTCTCTCGTGGAATTCATTTTGTTCATTGTTGTTTTATACTGGATTTGATTTATATATCTATACAAATTAGGGGTGATAATTAATATATAGACTGATTATGATTGTTCTTGTGTGTGAAGTTACATTGGTGTAGGAGATTTAGATGAAGTGCAGTTATTCTATTACTTCATTGAATCTGAAAGCAGCCCAAAAGATGACCCTCTTCTACTTTGGCTCACCGGTGGTCCTGGTTGTTCTGGTTTGTCTGGCCTCCTATATGAAATTGGTATGTTTCTCATCCTTAATATCATCTTCTTCAATACAATCATATATATATATATATATATAGCAAGCACCACCAATTTTTTATTTATTTTTATTTTTAATCATTTTGTTTGAATAGTCTGTGATAGATGTCATTTTATAATTAAGTCATGTATAATAAAATTTTCAAATTACCCTATTCTACTAAATTAGAATGTATGAACTAAATACTATAAAATCCATACATGTTGCTTAATGCTTTGTTTGGTAAGAACGAAGGAAGATGGGTGGAGAGAAGATAGGAAGGAAAGAAGAAACTTCCTCAGTTCGGAAGAGAGAAAAGAAAAAAAGATAATAAGATGGATGACCTTCATCCTTGACAAATTTTCATCCCTCCAAATATATCCTTCATAAAATTCTCTCTTCATATATGTATGTATGAAAATCTGAAAATTTCCTTACTTGTTTATATGTTAATAGTGTTACTATTTGAGAAATAATAGCAGATGGCTTGACAAAGTGATCTTCCTTATTAGAAATGGTTTGATGTCTTTTTATTTTCGTGTAGGTCCTTTCACTTTTAACTATGATAATTCCACCAGGGGCAAACCAACCTTGGAGTTGAACCCATACTCCTGGACAAAGGTATGAAACCTTTACCTTACTGCTTTACATGTTACAAAATTTATTTGACCAATTGATGTGAACACATAATGCTTCATTCAAATTTCTAGGTTGCCAACATAATATTCTTGGATTCACCTGTTGGCACTGGATTCTCCTATGCGAAAACTTGGGAAGCTTACAACACCAGTGATTCGCTAGTTGTGGAACAGGCTTACAGTTTTCTGAGGAAGGTGGGGGTGATTTAGTGAACTAATGGAAAATGATTATGCATTGCATATTCGAGTTGTAAACATAATACTCCATTTTATAATCAATTTTTAAAATTATTTTTTGGCTGTGTTGCAGTGGCTTGTGAATCACCCTCAGTTTGTTGACAATCCACTATACATCAGTGGTGATTCCTATTCTGGGATGATAGTTCCGATCATTGTTCAAGAAATATATGATGGTACTTGCGATAATGAAGAGCCATTTTTATGTTTAATTTATGTTTCATCACCAATGGGAAAGAGAACAAAATTTTCTAATGCAAATAAGTTAATATTCCATATTTCTTTTCATTTCCTCTGTTCTTGCTACCCATATGGGATGTCAATCTTCTTGATTATAACTTTTTTTTTTCTCTGTTTTGGTGGTTTTGTTGTAGGTAATGATGCTGGAAATAAGCCACAGATGAATATCAAAGTACGAGATTATGTTTAAGAATTCCATTTTAGTTATGTTTTATATATTCCAAATCCGCCGATGAGTTAATCTTTTGGCATTGAAGCTTTCTTCCAAAAAAAATTATTATGGGACTAATTTTTCATTGGATTGAACCAGGGATATGTGCTTGGCAACCCATTAACAGATAAATATAATGACCTAAATGCCAGAGTCCAATATGCTCATAGAGTGTCTCTTATATCAGATGAACTTTATGAGGTAATTCAATTTTTTTCGTTATATTTCCTCCCCCTATCAAAAATAACTTTCATTTGGTTTCGTAGATGACGTTTGTCAAATAGTTTACTCTACAATTGTGCCAGAATCTAATGTCAAACCATGTTATGTTAGAGCAGCTCCATTTAAAAATTTTAATGCTTTCTTTTTCAGGCAACTAAATCAAGTTGTGAAGGCAACTACATGGATGTAGATCCTGACAATTCAGCATGTGTAAATTTACTTAAATTGGTAAATGAGGTGAGCAGGATCGATCATTGTTTTGCTTCTCATACAAATCTTGTCATCCTTCACATTTTATAGACATTAATAACGATTTTTGCACATTTGATTGCAGTGCACCGAGGGAATTAATACAGGACATATAGTGGAACCTAAATGTTCTTCATTGTCCCCAAAACCAAATTTATTAGAATGGGACAGAAGCGTTCTTGAAGAAAATCCGGAAAATCTCATCCGCACACTTCCTCTTCTTCCTGAACCATGGTGTCGAGTAAATCCCTCTTTCTCTCCCTCTAGATAAACATTTATGGACAATGCTATTCAGACTTGGTAGTCTAACCGAAGAGTTTAGCCTCACTCGGTTAGACTAGTTTTTTTTTTTTTTTTTCTTTTTGGGAGTTTATTACCTTACTTTTTAACCCCCTTTATGTTGTAGCAATATAACTACCTGTACTCCTACGTTTGGGCTAATGATAAGACTGTCCAAAAAGCTCTTAACATCCGAGAGGTATGTTGATCCAAATAGAGACTTTCATATAATATAATACAAACATTATTTAATCAGATGATTTTGTGATGAAAACCAGGGAACAATAACGGAGTGGTTAAGATGCAATAAGAGCATCTCTTACACTTACACGTATAATTACACTAATGTTGTGGACTTCCATCGAAACCTCACTAATAAACCTTGTCGAGCTCTAGTTTACAGGTGATCTACTAAAGCTCTCTCTGCTCTTCCTGCTTTATTGAAACCTTTGCACTGGAACAGTCGACCTTGCTTCGTTTTACATGCACATATAGACATTTATTTTTAATGCTTATGTTCGAGAAGTATTAGTTCTAACCTCTACAAAATACTCTTGACAGTGGTGATCACGAGATAGTTATTCCATATATTGGTACACTAGAATGGATAGAATCTCTGACATTGACGATTGATACTGATTGGAAACCATGGTTTGTTGAAGGTCAAGTGGCAGGGTTGGTTCCTAAACTTCTAAAACTTTTCATCTCAAAATCACTATATATGTGTGTGTATATATATATATATAACAATCACATGTACTAAAAGTACATAAATGCATCCATTTATGTTATGTAGATTTACAGAGAAGCTTACAAATATCAAGTACTGGTTGACATATACAACTATAAAGGCAAGGAAATAATGTTCAACTCAATTCCTCTCTTAATTGATGATGTTAGCAAGTAAAATGTGAAGTTGATTATGTTTCTTTTGGGCTTTGTATAGGGAGGAGGCCACACAGCTCCAGAGTACAGGCCCAAGCAGTGTCTTGCAATGCTTAGTAGGTGGCTGGCTCATTTCCCTCTCTAGTTGATCTGAAGTGAGTCTGGTTGGTATTGAAGGACTTGCATAATGTTTTTGTAATTTGTATCTTAATATATGTCATTGTTCTACAAGTCAATGAAACATTTGTATTACAATATGTACCGGGGACAGACACAGAAAAAGTATGTGAGGGACGGCCTTTAACAACAATAAATTAAAAAATAACGTGGGTGCAATAGTAGAATTGTTCTATAATAACAAAAATAAAATTTCATTGTTCTGTATATTGTATGTGTATATATATATATATATATGAATCTTCAATATCCTTGTGACCCATAAATATGAATTGATTTGTAAATATTTATCCTTTTTACCAACCAACCCCCCTCCCTCCCTCCAAACCAAAAAAAGGAAAAAACTTCCCCTTAAATTTAAGCATGGAAATCAAAGCAGTCTTTAATTTTTAGTGAACCTAGGCATCTATGAAAACTAATTTTTAAGAGCAATAAGTATGAATGTGGGTAAGAATCATACACATTTATCTAGATTGGCATCGAATACTTAGATACTTTCCTAAAATTTGAATATTTTATTTTATATTTTAGTTCTACATAGTTGGGACACGACAAAAACAAGATTTGAAAATTTCAAGACACAAGGGGTGATTTTGTAATTATTATTTTAAAAGAATGTGATTTAATATAATTTAAAATATATCACTGATTAATTAAAACCCAACCTCTATATTTAATGCAATTATGTCAACAACAAACGATGAGTTTCAACCTCGAAGCATGTTAGCCTCTGTAGGGACGAATGACGTTTTCATGACATTGTTTCTCCAACAAAACAGAACATATAACAAAGACGGTGTAGTGTTGGTGCATGTGAGTTGTGGACAAATGGCCCAAGTTCGAATCCCTATCTTATATATATCAATTTTGCCGAACGTTTTTTCATAACAAACTTCTCTAAAACCCTTTTGTTTATGAGACAATTTTATCAGTCCACTCAATTTATTTCAAACTATTTCTAATCCCATCACTTAAGATGCTTTCACTTAAACCTTTCATTTTAAAATTTTTGGAGAAATAATTATTGGTTTCATTTTATAAACGAGAACGCTTATAGCAAGCAAAATTTCATCATCATAAACATAAATTTATTCCTACTAAATTTCAGGTATATACTCCAACGAATAACATACACCCACGTTGCCCTTTTTCGGGATTCGAATTATCATCGTTCACTTTGAAAAGTAGATGAGTTATCATTAGGTCACAATGCCTTGATATAAAATAATATTTTATTTAAAATAAAAAAAGTAATAGTATCATTAAAGTTAGAGTAAATTGCAAAAAACCCCTTGATTATTTGAAATTGGCATAAACCCCATTTGACTACAAGTTTGACCTCCTTTACTAAACAAATGGACTCTAGTAAGTAGACACAGTCATATCTGACAATAAGGCTAAAATAATTGGTGGACTGGAGGGTATAGCTCAGAGTCAATACAACAACTTGGACTCTTTAAATTTCTCGTCCATTTAAAAAACCACAATTACACCACATCTATCTCAAACTGGTCTAAACATTTGAAGCTCTCTCTTATCCAATTCCAGTAGCTACATAAGTTATATAAAAATGTTGCTGCGTATATTCTTTATATTGACTCTCTCCCACATTGCTCTCTCACAGTCCAATGTCACTTCTCTCCCAGGTTTTCATGGTGATCTTCCCTTTAATCTTGAAACTGGGTTAGTTTATTTTCCTTTTATTTTTTTTTTTTTCTCTCTTTGAATACAATTTGTTCATTGTTGTTTTTATAGTTTATTTGATTTATATATTTATACAAATTATGGGTATTAATTTAGTTTAGTACCTGATTATGAATGTTTTTGTGGTATTAAGTTACATTGGTGTAGGAGATTCAGATGAAGTGCAGTTATTCTATTACTTCATCGAGTCCGAAAGCAGCCCCAAAGATGACCCTCTTCTGCTTTGGCTCACCGGTGGTCCTGGTTGCTCTGGTTTGTCTGCCATTCTATATGAAATTGGTACGTTTCTCATCCTAAATATCACCTGTTTCAATAGAAACATATATATATATACACTAATATGTCTCTGTTTTATGCTCTACCAAAATTTTCTAATCATTTTATTTGAATATGCGAGAATAGTGTAATTTAGTGATCAAGTCATAATCTTTTCAAATTAGGCTATTCTAGTAAATTAGTATTTCTGATGTTTGTATAGAAAATGTGGTACGTTTTTCCAAGTCATTATTAGAAGGAAAATGACTGATCCTCTGAAACTGGATGACCGAACTCTAATTGAATTATCTAACAACCGGTGGATGTATTTAGGTACCTATCATTACTCTTGTTAATTCACCATCATTATGATTTCAAAATCCAGAATGTGTTTCCAAACCCCGGGCTCATGCTATTATGAAAAAATTACAAAGAAGCCATACTTTTCATTTTATAGGATCATCAAGTCCTATCAATTACTAATAATGGTAGGAAAATGTTACTCTCACCGAAAGGAGAGAGTACGAATGGGGAGCCAAACATGGGCCGACTCCCTATTCGCACTCACTCCTTTAGAATTCCTTTAATGGACATTTTCTAGGAGGGAGTTAGTGTGTGTGTGTGAAATGTTGTAGCTGCATGTGTTTATAATATGCAAGTACATTTGAGAAATAAAAGCAGATGGCTTGACAAAGTGATATTTCTTGTTAGAAATTGGCTTGATGTCCTTATAATTTTGTGTAGGCCCTTTCACTTTTAACTATGAAAATTCCACTAGGGGAAAACCAACCTTGGAGTTGAATCCATACTCCTGGACAAAGGTATGAAACTTTTCACCTTGTTGCTTTACCAGTAAAAAATTTATCTGACCAATTAATGTGAAAAAAATTAATATAGTCTTGTAAATAAAAGTGGTTATAAATTTATAGGTTGCCAACATAATATTCTTGGATGCACCTGTTGGCACTGGATTCTCCTACGGAGAAACTTGGGAAGCTTACAACACCAGTGATTCGCTATCAGCCGCACAGTCCTACAGTTTTCTGAGAAAGGTGGGGGGAAATTTGGTGAAGTAATGGAAAATGTTTCTGTATTCTATATTCGTGTCGGACACACAATGCTGTATTCTATACTTAAATTTTTTATTATTTTCGAACTGTGATGCAGTGGCTTGTGAATCACCCTCAGTTTCTCGACAATCCACTATACGTTAGTGGTGATTCCTTTTCTGGGATGATAGTTCCGATCATTGTTCAAGAAATATATGATGGTACTACTGAAATTGAAGAGCTATTTATATGTTTAATTTAATGCTTCATCATCAATGGGAAAAGAGAACAAAATTTTCAAATGCAAATAGGTTAACATTCTATATTTTCTTTTCAATTAGCTTACTTGTGTGTGTGTGTGTGTGTGTGTTTTCTTGGGTGGTTTTGTTGTAGGTAATGATGCTGGAAATGAGCCACAGATGAATATCAAGGTACAAGATTCAATTTAAGAATTTCACCATAGCTATGTTTTATTTTTTCCGAATCCATCAATGACTTAAATCTTTTTGCACGGTAGCTTTCTTCCCAAAAAATATTATAGGACTAATTTTCATTGGATTGAACCAGGGATATGTGCTTGGCAACCCACTAACAGATTGGAATAAAGACCTAAATTTCAGAGTCCCATATGCTCATAGAGTGTCACTTTTATCAGATGAACTTTATGAGGTAATTAATTTCATATTTTGAAGCAGTAAGTCTTAAAATTTTGTTTTTGTTTTTGTTTTTTTGTTTTCTTGTTTTCCTAGTTTGCTCTACAATCGTGCCTGAATGTAATGTCAAACCATGTTCTATTAGAGTAACTCCATTTAATATTTGTCATGTTTTGTTTTTCAGTCAGCGGAATCAAGTTGTGGAGGCAATTACATGGATGTCGATCCTGACAATTCATCATGTGTAAATTTACTTAAATTAGTAAACGAGGTGAGCAGGATCAATCGTTGTTTGGTTTTCTGATACAAATCTTGTCATCCTTGATGTTTATAGACATTAGTAATAATTTTTACCCATTTGATTGCAGTGCACTGAGGAAATTTATCTGCCACATATACTGGAACCTAAATGTTCTTCAATTTCACCAAAACCAAATTTGTTAGAATGGGACCGAAGGATTCTTGAAGAAAATCCAGAAAATCTCCTCCGTACACTTCCTCTTCTTCCCGAACAATGGTGTCAAGTAAATCCCTCTCTCTCCCCCTCTAACACAAACATTTATTCACTTCCTTTAGATCAGAAGGGTATGATTTGAACAATACAGTTTTTTACCAGACTTTTTAACCTCTGTTTTTGTTGTAGAATTATAATTACTTGTACTCCTACATTTGGGCTAATGATAAAGATGTCCAACAAGCTCTTAACGTTCGAGAGGTATGTTGATCTAAACAGAGTAGTATCATTTATATAATATCAACATCATTTAATCAGATGATTTTGTGATGAAAACCAGGGAACAATAACGGAGTGGTTGAGATGCAATAAGAGCATCTCTTACACTTACACATACAACTACACTAGTGTTGTGGACTTCCATCGAAACCTTACTAACAAAGCTTGTCGAGTTCTAATTTACAGGTGATTTACTAAAGATCCCTCTACGATACCTGCTTTATTGAACCTTTAAATCGGAATAGTTTGACTTTACTTTGTTTTAATGATCTCGGACCTCCAATGCAGTACAACACCTATGTTGTACTGCAGAGAAACCAGGCTCTGATCTATATAGACATTTATTTACTATGCTTATGTTCGAGGTATTAATTCTAACCTCTACAAAATACTCTCCACAGTGGCGATCACGACATGGTTATTCCATACATTGGTACACTAGACTGGATAGAGGCTCTGACATTGACGGTTGATACTGATTGGAAACCATGGTTTGTCGAAGGTCAAGTGGCAGGGTTGGTTCCTAAACTTCTAAAACTTATCGTCTCTAAATCACTATATATGTATATATAACAATCACATGTACTAAAAGTATATAAATGCATCCATTTATGTTATGTAGATTTACAGAGAAGCTTACAAATATCAAGTACTGGTTGACATATACAACTATAAAGGCAAGGAAATGTTCAACTCAAACTCCTCTATTAAATGATGTTAGCAAGTAAAATGTGAAGTTGATTATGTTTCTTTGGGCTTTGTATAGGGAGGAGGTCACACAGCTCCAGAGTACAGGCCCAAACAGTGCCTTGCAATGCTTAGTAGATGGTTGGCTCATTTCCCTCTCTAGGTGATTTTTGTAGCTTTAAGTCCATTTACAATTCTAGGTGCAATCCTTCTATGTCTTTCTTGATGTAATATGAGCTATGTTTAAAATAGATATGAGTATATGATTTTGAATATAAAAGCCAAATTAATAATAATAATAACAACAGTAATGCCTTCACGATGACTTCGATCCACCCCTGTGTTCGATCAGGACCAACTTGGGCATGATACCGTGGCCAACAACATTTTGACACTATTTTATTAAAAAGAAAAAGTTAAAAAATAAATTATTTCTCTCTCTAACAAATCTCACCGCCTCTCCCCACCACCACCGCCGTCCGCCGCCACTCACCACCCTTTCTCATTCTCTCGGTCTCTCTTTCTTTCCCCCTTCAGAAAACCCTAAAGCAAAAACAATGTCATCATCAATTTGACCGCAATCCATATAAAGCAAAAAAAAAAAAAAAAATCCACGACACAAAATAAGAATCTCCACTGAAACCATCAATTTCATCATCCCAGTTTGCTTATTCTCTTCTTTACTACACATATTGCTCAAAGACAATTACAAAGATGAAAAAAATGCATGAAAGGACCATTGACTTTACAGATCAAAGCTTTAATTGTGAGTACTTTCTGAAATCTCTTCCACAAACACCAATGTTTATGCAATGCCAACAACTCCAACTACAGCGACAGGAAGCTTGGAACATCCGCATTGATTCGTCAATGAGGTATCTGTCTCCGTCAATGCCATCCCCTCTATTTCGCAGTTTGTTGGATTCAATTTGATGCCTAAGCTTTTCTTTCCGAAGAGGAAGTCAATTTGTAAAATCCCACTTCTTCTCTCCTAATAGAACACCACTATAAATAAGTGAAACCTTCGATTCTCTTCTATCTAGGTCCACGGCAACTCCACCTGTTTCAGAATTTCATTCCAGATCCGAGTTCATGAATCTGACACATCGATCTTTCTCATAACCCTGTTCTTTGTTCATAGATCCCATCTATCCTGCGCCGGGCTAGGTATATCTGCACTAGCCTATTCCAATTTTGGCTATTTTAAAATGCGACTTAAAGTTTTTCCAGAGTCACACCAGTAATTTCAAGGGTCATGTCAGTAGTTTTTGCCACATTGATAGTTTTTGCTCTAAAAAAACATACATTTCATCAGACTTTTTAAATTTTTGCTCTAAAAAAAAAATTAAAAATTAAAAATATTATTATTATTATTATTTAACTTTTCTTAAACAGCTATATTTCTAATAGCTATATTTCTAAAAATGCCACTTCAGTGGTTGATGAATGATTTGATAGAAAATTTGTGGAACCGCCACGGTGATGAAGTTATTTAATTTATGTTACATTTTGTTTGTTTTTAAGATATTATGACATTTCGTGTACTAGAATTTTTATTATATAATGATTTTTTTAGATTAAAAATAATGAATTGGAATAAGAAAATAAGGATTACAAAATCCTATGGGGATAAGTAGATGAATTTGTAATTTTAATTATTTATTTTTAAAAAAAATTATACCTTTTTGTAAAAAAATTATAGTCGTGCACTATTTGTGTCAGCCAAACAATGCCTTAACGGCCAAATACATTGTTTGTATTACACATTTAAAATTTAAAGCAAACAAATAAAATAAAAAACAAAATTTAAAGGGAAAAAAAAGGATTTTTAATTTATTTTTGGACAAACAGTGCCTAAACAATATATTTTTTATTTAATGACTTTTATTTTGTGTATATATATATATATATATTTTAAAAAAAGAGCTCAAAATAACCTATTTTTAGGTTTTTTTTTTTTTTTAAAAAAAAATTCTATCAAATAGTGCCTTAACCATTGTTCAGGACCGTTTGAGAAAAGAAAAAAAAAAAAAAAGGCAACCGCAAAACGGCGCCGTTTTGCTAAAGATCGTGGGCCGTCCCGCAAGGCAAAGTGGGTCCCGTAGATTTAAGCTAACCCGCTGCGCGGCCAAAGGGCCAATCTCTTGCGGAAAGTAGGCTTTAGCTAGCCCGCTGCACATCTTCTGAAAGAGGGGCAAAAGAGAGAGGAGCGAAGAAATGGAATAGGGGGTTACATACACATATGGGTGAGGAGCAAAATGGGAATCAAAAGGGTAAAATAGAATTTTCGTATTTAGTTTTTGTCAAAAAGTGGTCACAGTAGCTTATTTACACATTTTTTGAATTTTATGGACTAACATGTACATTTTCAAAAAGTAGAAACTAGTTCTACACAACCCTATATATCAGGATTTTTTTTGCACTTAACCCAATATTAGAACTAACTGAACCATTGAAACTTAACTGATCGATGTGAATTACATATAATCGGTTGGATTATAATATTTTTATTTATGGGTGTGCTCATTTAAGCCCCTTTCTTTAGTTTGACAATAAAATAAGAACAACAACAACAACCTGATTAAAAAGATTGGAACCGACATTAATTTGTCATAAACAAAGAAAAAACACAGATACGTGCGCTAATTAACAATCAAACCTACAATAATATTAACAGAGACGGGGACACAAGGCTTGACTACACTCACCTCATATTCATTATATATATATCTCTAAGTTGAAACAACGTATGGTCCTAAAAGTAACATGTATTCCACAACCTCATGTTTAGTTATCATATTGGTTCTAAGTGGTACTGCTATTTCCAAGTCCATCATCAAGACTCTACCAGGCTACACAGGTGATCTGCCTTTCAATCTTGAAACTGGGTGAGTTTTATTTTCATTAATATTTCACTAACTTCTTTAATTACCAGTTATATATACGCGCTTAGCATATATATATAGTATTAAAATGATGGTGTAGTATATTTTGTGCGTAGATATGTGAGTGTGGGAGAGTTGGACGATGTGCAGCTATTTTACTATTTCATCGAGTCGGAGGGCAGTCCGAAGGAGGACCCTCTTATGCTTTGGCTTACTGGAGGACCTGGTTGTTCTGGTTTTAGTGGCCTTGTTTATGAAATAGGTTTTTTTCTCATCCTTTCCATCAATTTATACACACATATGCGCACACATATAATTATATATATATGGAATACATATAAATACACATATACATGTGTTGTACTGCATGTCTTTTCTACCATCAAGAACGAAGAAAAAATATCACGGAAGTAGAGATATGATGTATAAATATTTTGTTCGTGGGAGAAGGGAGAATGACCTTTTACAAGATTTTCCAAAACAATGGTCCCATGCATCAAATGGGTAAAAATTTCTTCCAATGCATTCATAGATTAAGATACTATTTAATAGCATTGTTCAAATAGATACTTTTCTAGTACGTTGATGATTTATTTATTTATTTTTTATTTTTTTGATAAAGGGGTGTTCGGACCTTTTTTCCCAACTCTTTTGCTGGACTTGTGTAAAGTGATCCCTCTGTGCGAATCAAATGAAGTTTGGACTATGTCCGTGATTGCGGCTCTTAAAAAATTGATCGCACTCAAAAAATTTGAATCTAAAACTTAATGTTTAATGAAATATTAATCCCATAACTTCACCATTGGAGCCAACCCTTAGGGCCCTCAAATTTTTAAAATTTTATTTTAGGATTGAAGAAAAAAAAAAAAAAAAACAAAAACAAACAAACAAACTAGTATAGGGAAAAAAGAAAAATTGTAATATAATAAGATTGTGCGTATATATATAATATACTCAAGCTTTGTATATTTATTGTATATCCTGATTGTTGGATAATGATAGGCAGTTGGTCTAAATTGATGCCTAAATAAGAATTTTAACTTTATTTTTTATAATAAGGTAAAAGGGATGTGAATATGTAAGTTTCATTTCTTTTTCCTTTTATCTTCTGTTTTACATTTCAGTTTGAAATTTCGGTCAATATTAAAAACTTTTTTTTTTTTTTTTTTTTTTTTCAAATTCTCTTCTATACATTATTTCTAAACTAGTGGATTAGGAATATATATATATAAAACTTAGAGTATATAATATTATCAATCAATTAAACAAAAATCTCATTTTGTCAATATATACTTTACCCCAAATTTTATTAATTGATTCAAAGATTCGGTTCCAACTTGCAAAATCAAAAAAATCTCTCTCACTTTTGAGTTGAGATTAAAAGTGAGTAATAAATAGGTTAGATTCTCGAATATCATATAAATTACTCTATCTGTCCCAAAATAATTATCTGTTTTGAGAACTGTGCTATTTTTGGAATATCATATAAAATGTTTTTTATTTATATAATATATGTGTTTTTTTTAATAAAAAAAATTCAACGTTTACATTTTTAATGTTGCAATTCATACTTATTTTTATGTAAGTTGAAGTATAAGACTGGAAACTGGTTCTAACATAATCTTGCTCATATTTGGCGAAAATTGGTGTAAAGAACCTTTGAATTAAAGGCATAACTTTTGAATTATTCTCTTTATAGAATTGTACTATTATTTGATAGTTAAAAATAATGAAAGATGAATAGTTTAATATGTTTTACACATTATGCGTTTCAGTTTTTGCAAGATTGTTAATTTGTATTATTATTACATTAAATTCGTATTTGTTTATAAATTAAAGTCTAATTGTTTACTTGAAACTTCTGTAACTTAAATTTTATTTGTGCTAGGGAAGTTTGATAAAAATAAAAAAATAAAAACCTTTTTTAAATTACTTTTTTTTTTTTTAATAATAAATTGGCAAATATTTGGCTTGATATATATTTGTATGAATATAATGAATAGTAATTTTTTTTATTTTAATTAAGACTTGAATTAATTTTTTGTTTTCTTTAAAGTTTGGCCCCTCCAACCACAGGATACATTAGTAAGCTTAAAAAATACGGTTAATTGGGCAGCCCATACTTTTCTCCTTTTTTTTAACCTGACAAAGACAACCCCAAGACAAAGAACCAAAAAAAAAAAACACAACCACAAACAACTAAGACCCAGCATTCGCCACGGCAAAATGAATATTTTTTTATACTTAGAATGCTTGCACGTCACATCAATTCTTGAAGTCCTGTAAGCACAAAAACACATGGTGGTTTTTATTTATTTATTACTCCAATAATTATACATATCCCGGAAGGTAGAGAAAATCAAATGTTCAAACCAACCTCTCAAAGACAAACATTCAGACCAACCTCTCCATACACATTGAATCTGCGGTGTTAGACTGTTAGTGACAAGCCACGGCAAATAGATTAAATAATATTATATATAAATCACATAAAATAAAATCACACATCACATTCGGGCAAAATTATAAATCACATAAAATAAAATATATTAAATAATAATATATATAAATCACATAAAATAAAATCACACATCACATTCAGGTAAAAATATATGGTGCAGTATCTTTAGAAATTGATTGGTGATAATTTTAAGAATTTTATAAAAATGTTAGGACATTTTTAAATTTTTTACAAAATTTAGAGGTAACTTTGTAAATAAAAAAGTTTAGTGGGCACGTTCCCTTAATGGGTTCGTGCCTGCATCTCATAATTGTATTTGAACGACGTCTATATATATATATATTTTTTAAGGAATTCACTCACACACCGACTTTATGTGTAAAGGAACTTGAATATTCGGAAAAAATATCCCTAGACTACGCCCAAGGAGGCACCTAATTGATATATTTTTATATACTTTTGCGCAGGTCCATTAAATTTCAACACACTAGATTTCGATGGAAATTTTCCAACTTTTATTTTGAACCCTTATTCGTGGACAAAGGTGTATCATTTCGACCTTCATTGCTTTTAATTTCATGCCTATATATTATATACATGGTCAATTTGATTGTGAGATTTTCTAATAATCATTTTATTATAAATTGATACATATAATATTTCAGGTGGCCAGCATAATATTTTTAGACGCACCAGTTGGCACTGGATTTTCCTATGCCAACAACACCGAAAGTTCCTCCATCATGGATGATAAAATTTCAGCAGCCCAAACCTATCAATTTTTTAGAAAGGTAATGCATGATTTGATGTCTGAATTATGCGAATGAGGGTTAATATCATTATGATGTCATTAATTGAATTGATTTCGAAATCCCTATTATTAATAATATAATATAATATTAAAAAAAACATTATAGAACCATAAACCGAATTGGATGAATGGGCCCCCACACCCCCTCTCTCATTTGAATTTAGGTCCGTAAAAATATTAATTTATTATTAAAAAAAGGTAATAATTTTTTCTAAATTGTGTGTGTATTTTTTGAATTAGATAAGTATTCATACAAATATTTCACAAATTTACTGATCGAGCACGAATCCCTGACCTTTACGAGGAATGAGAGGTTATACTAAATTTTTAAGCTCTGTTGATGCAGTGGCTTAATGATCATTCAGAATTTACGTCAAATGACTTCTATGTCGGTGGTGATTCATATTCTGGCATTGTCGTCCCAATCATTGTTCAAGAAATATATAAAGGTAACTTGTGCTGAACAAGATTAAGTCTGTTCATGTGATAGTTTCTGTTATTTAGCCACTTTAATCAATTTGTTTTTCTTTTTCTTTACCTTATTCTTTTCATTTCCTTTATGCAGGAAATGAAGTCGGACGAACACCGATAATCAAGCTACAAGTAAACAATTAAATTATTTGAAAAAAGAAAGCAATAAAAAGACACACATATTTAAGTTACAAACATATTTTGTAAAATGTGATTGATTTTAAAGTTTTTCGAATTGATGACTCAGGGGTACATACTTGGAAACCCACTGACCAGTGAACATGATGACCCAAATTCCAGAGTTGAATTTGCTCACCGTGTGGCACTTATATCAGACCAACTCTTCAAGGTGAATTCCCCTCCATTTCTTCTATATAAAATAAATAAATTATATAAAATAAAATTCACCCGAATATTCAATAACTATCATACATAAGTGACAAGAATAGGAGTACAAATTAGTGGACCATTAGTTCAATTGGTATAACCTTTCTCCCTGGAAAAAGAAACAAGGGACTCAACTTTCTTCCATAGTAGACATTTGTGAATATGTGGAATATTTGTGTAAATGTTTAGGTATTTTAGTTTTGAATTCTTCACCCTAGACTTTGATGGTATTTTAATTAAAATAAATTATTTTAATTAAATTTATAATTTATTGATTTTATTTCAGTCAGCTAAAACAAATTGTGATGGTGAGTACGTGAATGTGGATTCAAACAATACAGAGTGTGTAAAGGATATTGAGATTATCACAGAGGTGAGACAGATATATATAAATTACTATATAACTTGTGATTGTTCAGAGAAAATATATTAACTATGGCTTCATAATTGAATATATTATATATATATATATAGTGTATTGCACAAATAAACCGACCACAAATCTTGGAACCTACCTGTTCTTTAAAGTCCCCGAATTCAACTACTCAAATAAAATGGGACAGAAGATTCGTCGGAGAGAATCCAACAGACTTTCTTCTTTTATCTTCTCAACAAAACTCCAGACTATGGTGCAGGGTAAGTACCAAGTACTCTTTCTACACACACACACTTTTTATACCAGTCGTCGATGATCCTTTGATGTAAAATTTGGTGGTGTACGTAGTGGCATTGTAGTGATTTAACACTATTACATCTATTTTTTAACATTTCTACATTTAATTTTTTTTTAAACTAGACTTAATCTGTTAAAAAATAAATATAATGTTTTGAAAATTAGAACGTTGAAAAACAGATATAATATGTTAAAAAAAAGAATGTAATGTTTTAAAAATCAATATGTTGAAAAACTAATGGAATGTGTTAAAAAGTATACAAGATTACTACAACCTGATAAGATTATAATAGTATAGGTGGGCTCTGCTTCATATACGGTTCTATACTGCTAAAATGAAAAATAAATTACACTAACCTCCACTGATGTTTCATCAATATACACCCATCTCTCTTTTTGTTTGCCAAATTACACTAACATCCCTTGTCAAATTTGTCGAGTTTATAATTATGATTCTTTCCTTATATATATATATATATATGTATATATGTATGCATATTTTTTGCAAGAAACAAGTATTTTAAGGGTATATTTGGAATTTAAAAGTTACAAAATTACTAATATCAACATTTTTCATCGTTTAATGTGTTGACGGTTAATGAAAGTTAGATATATATTATTTATGTACAAATTTCAAGGGAGATAAATGTAATTTGATAAATACAATGAGATATCAATGTATATTAACAAAACTTATTTACCATAGAATGAAAATAAAGTGCTTTTACGGGTCTCATAGAAAGAAAAAACACACACACACACACAACAAAAATTATAAGCTTATACAAATTGTATAATCAATTGGTTTACCATTTCTGTAGGAGTATAATTACTTGCTCTCCTACATTTGGGCAAATGACGAGACTGTCCAAGAGGCTCTTCATGTCCGTGAGGTATATATGACATTGTTTATCGAAATCACAAACTAATCTAATCTTATAAATAAATAAATAAATAATAATATCAACCAGATAAATATTTATGATGGCAATGTTGAGCAGGGAACATTAAAAGAATGGATGAGATGTAACTGGGGCTTGGCCTACACACAAACAGTATTAAGTAGTGTTGCTTATCATCAATACCTCCTCTCAAATACAAATTATCGAGCTCTAATTTACAGGTAACATATATTTCCTTAGACTTAATTTCTCTGCTACTTCACTAATGTCAAGATTAGGTAGTATTTTTTTTAATAATATATCATCAAAATTATAATTACATTAGTTAATTAGGAATATAGTAATTGTGTGATTTAAGAGAGTCTTGAATTATAACGATTGTCAATATTGTTTTTTGTTTTATCATCACAGTGGTGATCACGACATGCTTGTTCCATATGTGGGCACACATGCATGGATTGATGCTCTCAATCTAACAATCAGTGACGATTGGAAACCATGGTTCGTTGATGGTCAAGTTGCAGGGTTGGTTACTAATTTGATCTATGTCGATTCATTTTATTTGCACAACTTTTAATTCATAATTTAATTGCTATATGTTTTACAATTGCTTATGGTATTAATTGTTTAATCGTAGGTACTCAATGGCATATTACTATTATGGATACCATTTGACTTATGCCACAGTGAAGGTAAGAAAGTCAGAAAAATACACTATTTTGACTCTTTTGTTTGGATATAAAATATATTTTAATTTTTTTGATGTTTGATTGTCCAAAATTTAAGTAAAATATTTTTTCAAAACCTAACAAAAATAACTTATGCTTTTGGTTTGAAATTTTTTTTCAAGACCTTTATCAAATACCAAAAAATAAAAAATATATGTTATATATATATATATATATATATATATATATATATATATTACTTAATAAAAAATTATATAAAAAATATTTTACGTCATAACAAAATCTTAGTTCCACCTAATTATACACGGAAAAAGTGAAAATGTAGAAGAAAGTTTAATAATGTTCGTCGTGATGGACTTGTGCAGGGAGGAGGTCACACAGCGCCAGAGTACAAGCCCAAAGAATGTCTTGCGATGCTTCGTAGGTGGTTTGCTTATTACCCTTTCTAGTACTCATCAATTACAACTTTGAAGTTAAAATTTCTCTTATGCTATGTTTGGTATTATCGAAACCGATTCTTAGAATTGAAAAACAAAATTAATTTCAATTTACGTATATATGTTCAATAAATCTTGGGTATTGTATATAGTGAATTTTCTAGCCAAGACATAATTGGTTTGTAACTCTGAAAACAAATCTCTGAAACTTATAAATTGAGAATAGTTTTCAGAGAATAATAAAAGACTATTTTCTGAAAACAGACTTTTTTATAACTGAGTTTTCAGAAATTTTTTATTTATTTATTTTTTTGAGAAAACTAAACCAAACAGATTTTTTTTTTTTGTACAATTTTATGTTTTCAGTTTTCATAGTTATAAACCAAGCAAGTCCATTTCTACTATATACTTTGTGTCTATATATAGATATATAGAGAGAGAGCATGTGACAGAAAGTCAAATGCACGATGTGAAGTAGAAGCAATTGCGGAACATGCCCCTAGATTGATTTGTAGATATCATACCTGACAAGAAAAATGGAATAATTTTTAATTATTTTTTTTAAAAATAAAAAATTACTATGGTGAAAGGTCTAAAACTGACAAAAAATAATGTTAATAATTATCATGGGCAAAAAGTAGTACATGAAGCCCATAAAAGTTAGGGTTAAGTGAAAAAAATTCCCCTAAACTATGACTTTTTTGTAAATAACCCCCATGAATTAAAAATCGCCCCCTGAACTATTGATTTGTTGCAATAAAGGACAAATCCATCACAAAAGATTATTTTATCCTTTCTCATTAAAATTTTCATTTCTCATTAAATTATTTTTATTATCTTTTCTCTTATGTAAATATTAATTATACTATTTACCTTAATTTTATTTTTAGTATCAATTTATCATAAAAATGAAAAAAAAATAGATAAATGGATTTGTAACTACCACTTTCTAAATTGATTAACTTATTATTAAAAATTTATTATTTATAATAAAACGTATTATAACCAATTTAAACATTTTTATCATGAAAAAATATCATTTTTTTTTCAAACAATATATTGATGAAAATTAATAAAATACTTTTGAAAAAAATACCACTTTTCATGTAATATATTCATTAAAAATTAAAAAATCAATTAATTTTTTGAAAAAATTATATTAAAATTTTTTATTTAAATAATTAATTAAAAAAATTAAAGGTATAATGAAAATATCTCATCAAATTTGTATGATTTTTTTCATAATTTATTTAGATAAGAAAAATATATTAAATGTAATTCAATAAGAAGGGGCATTATGGTCATTTAATGAAATATAGTATAGTATTTGGGGTATGTTGCAACAAAATGAGATCGTTTAGGAGGTTTTATGCACAAAAAATATTTCATAGGGGTTATTTGTAAATTCACATATAGTTTAAGGAGTTTTTTTGGACTTGACCCTAAAAGTTATTCAAATACAAACACAAAACCTATATATATATATATCAATGAAGTACAACTGAACTATAGTGAGTGGCCAATATAATAATTAAACAAAAACATGCAAAAGGGTATATTTACATATGACTGAACTTTTTCAATATGTTTAGTGGATGGCCCAAGCTTCAGGACCTAGGCCCAAGGTCGCCTAAATGGCAGTTGCGAGCAGGCTTGGATCATCTAACGAATGAGCTACTTTGACAAATTGCTGAAATAAACTAAAGAGAGAAACATATAAAAAAATTAAAATAAAAATTGGGGCTTTTTAAAACTGTATGTGAAAAAAAAAAAAACTGCTTTTGGAATTTCCAGTCCACTCTAAAGTTATAATTTAATTGAGTTTAATTATAGATGGATATCCAAATACGGTAAACTATATAATATTTAATCTATACAAATATCTAAAATCTTCTAAGAATTCATAGTAGAATTTGAATTTTGATGCAATAAAGTTGCTGTCATTTTTCAATAAATAAGAAACTGCTCTCATTGGGTGGATCTACTATTTTCTCTCCTGCTGGATTTCTGATCTATGTCAATTATGGTTGTTCTGGACTTGATCTGATTTTTTTCACTTGATTTGATCTTGTGCGGGTATGGGTGGTTTTTTTCCTGTCGGAGGCACCTTATGGATGTAACTTTGAAACTGTTGCCTTGATGATTGCCAAGCCTTTGGATCATTGCTATTGCTACTCTTATTCCTCGGTGGTCTTCGTTGCAGAGCTTTGGCTCTTGTTGTTAACAATTTTGGAGTAAATTCTTCATTTTGTTTTTGTTTTGTTTCAAGATTTGTATAACTTTATCTGGCTTGATTTTTGCCTCTGTATAGTCATCGATGACTTGACCTTCGTACTTTTGCAATGATAAAAAATAATAATAATAAAAATAAAAAATTGGCACATTTATTGACTAGGCGGATCCAAAGGGAGCTTCCCAAATTTTTTTTTTTTTTGCTATAAGTAATTTTAGTCGAGTCCCAAAAAAATAAAAATAAAAGTACTAGCCTGCTAGCCTATCTCAAAATATATTTGTCCCCCAAAATATATTTCAGGGTCGGCCAAATTATTGTTGCTTTTACTTCTTATTTAAGCTACTACCCCAGTGCCACGTTGTAAATCGATCTACCAACTTCCATTTAATTTGGTTCTTAATTCGGTGCTTCGGTAGTTGGATGCGCACGCACGATATTTTGCTACCAAACAGTCCACGGTTGTTGGCATGACAAACTGACAATCCACATATCTACTCTATTGTTCTTTAGTATCTAGGATTTCCAAGATCATATCCACATACCAATGCCGGCCAACAATTCCAGAAGTTAGTCTGTGAATGGGACCGTGATGCTTTTTGAGGTACTCTTAACCAAGCGGGTACAGGAGCGAGAGTAAGTACAAGAGGAGATCACGAAGGTTACAAAATCTAAAATGTGATCGAGAGCATGTGCAGAGTGAGAGCGCAAGAACACATGTAAAGCATGAGAACAATTTTCGGACAGAAAAATGGTATAACGTGGACTTACCTACTTTACCATTTTAAAATATTAGAACTAACCGAACCATTGAAACTTGAGTAACGGGTCTGCCCATTTAAGCCCCTCTTTCCTTAGTTTGCCAATAAAATAAAACATTGAAATTTGTCATAAACAAAGAAAAAACATAGATCCGCTAATTAACAATCAAACCCACAATGATATTAACAGAGACTGAGGGACAATGCTTGACTTCTCTCAGCTAATATTCATTTTATATATATCTGTAAAGTGAACTAAGGTATGGACCAAAAAGTAAAATGTATTCCACAACCTCATGTTTACTTATCTTATTGGTTCTTAGTGGTACTGCTATTTCCAAGTCCATCATCAAGACTCTGCCAGGCTACACAGGTGATCTGCCTTTCAATCTTGAAACTGGGTGAGTTTTATTTTCATTAATATTTCACTTAACTTCTTTAATTACCAGTTTTATATACGCGCATATCATATATATATATATATATATATATATATATATGTTTAGTATTAAAATGATGGTGTAATATATTTTGTACGTAGATATGTGAGTGTGGGAGAGTTGGACGATGTGCAGCTATTTTATTATTTCATCGAGTCGGAGGGCAATCCGAAGGAGGACCCTCTCATGCTTTGGCTTACTGGAGGACCTGGTTGTTCTGGTTTTAGTGGCCTTGTTTATGAAATAGGTTATTTTCTCATCCTTTCCATCAATATATACACACACTGTCACACACATATAATTATATATATGGAATACATATAAATACACGTATACATGTATGTTGTACTGCATGTCTTTTCTACCATCAAGACCTGAAGACAAAATATCCCGGAGGAATGATGTATAAATACTTAGTTGGTGGGAGAAGGGAGAATGAATTTTAACTCGATTTTTCAAATCAACGGGTCTGATTCACGATATTAAATGGATAAAAAACTCTTCGAATTAGGATACTATATATTTAAATGGCATTGTGTATAATTTTTGGATACTTATACGTGCTATCTCCTGTTAATGCACAGTTGTAGAATACCTAAATATATCTTAATATATAAAAAAGTGTTTAAAATCATAAAATCCTTACTACTTTTATTTTTTAATTATAAAATTTTAATTTATTTGTAAAAATTTCTTTACTGTTACAAAGTTGTAACATTATCCGATCCGTTATAATCAGGCTGACAAATTTATCTTTACTATTTAATGTTGAATTAAAAATTGAGAATTAATATTTTTTAAATTACAAAATTACCCTTTAATTGGAACGCTATCAATTTCTTATTTACGTACCTCTTGTTGCTGATATGGCAAAAAAACAATCTAAACAGCCAATGGTATTGCGACAAGACGTCACTCATCACAATAACCACCTTAACACTATTCCAAACACGGCCTTACCCACGCTCTCTATCTACGCTCTTGTCCTCCTTTAGCCGACGATATCGACCAATCGCAAACTCCGGCAGCCGACATCGCCGACCAGTTGTGTCTTCAAGGAAGTTCACAATCTGTATGATGCTCGCCGGAAATTTTGTTAGTTGTGTCTATTTGTGGTTCACCAGAGACTTCACTGGTTTGGTCGCTGCGGTTGCGTCGTTGATGCTTAAAGTTTCTCGCCGGCGTTCATGGAGTTTATGGTTGGGATCTCACCGATTTCGATGTGATTGCGTCGTTGAAGCTTAGAGCTTCTCGCCGGCGATCATGGAGTTTGAGAGTCGACAAATTCTTAATGTATTACAGTTGGAACCTTTGCTTAACGATTCGATTTGGGGCTTCAAAGTTTCACACAGAACGTTTTTAAAATTTTATGATATCTATATATAGTTTTACAAGGTATTTATTTATGTTATTTTATTTTATTTTATTTTACTTTTGAGAAGGTAGTTTATACAAAAATTAAAATTGAAAATTTTTTGGTCTTACAAAGTAGTTTCAATTTGATATCCATATTGCCATATTGGGTTATCTTTATTTAAGGATTAGTTTGGTTAGCGTGAATTAGTTAGAAAGGAAAAGAAATAAAAAAATTTTAAATTATTTTGTAATTTGGTTAGTGTGAAATGGAAAGTTTTCAGGAAAGTGATATTCCTGGTTGGCTTTTCCAAAATGTTTCCTCCATGAAACACACCAAAATTTAGTTTCTCGTGAAAATTGTATCATTATATGTTAGTTTTCAATTATACCCTTGTCAGTTATTTCTATTCTTTTTTTTTAGACTCTCCAAAGGAGCAACTTCTTTTTAATAAATTAAGACTCCTAATTACTGACTCTTTAAATTAGGATTTTTAATTAAGTTAAAATTTTCTTACGTTTTAAATTAGGACTCTGTATATATGCACGCACATATATTTTTATTCATAAAACAATTATTTATATTTTTTATTATACTTATTGCATGATTTCTATTATTTAGTATTGAATTTATAAGGGTAGTTTTGGCATATAAATTATTTTTTTACTAATCAAACTAATGAAATAACATTTTTTCACAATTTTTTTACAAAAAAATCATGCTAACCAAATGCATGATAGAAACATAATTTTCTTTTATTTCACTTCACTTTTTTTTCCTTTCACTTTCCACCATTAATTTTTGACTAATCAAACGGACCCTAATAGAATTTAGTTGGATATATTGGTTTTTTTATCACTTTTGGTGTATGTTAATTATGTGGGTCTGTAGAAAAATTATGTTTAATTTATGTCACAACTGGGTTGACAATTCTATTGGTTGGAGTTGTGTGTGGATCATAATTGCATATGTAGTCTTCAGTTGAAAACTGATATAAGAATGACATAGTAGTGTGTGATTTTGGTGGGGTCTTGCCTAAATCTGACGTATTTTTCCTGCCGGCGATCATGGAGCTTCTCGATTTATATTCCTTTATATTGTCGTTTTGATAAAAGTTTGTTTCTGGTGGGTTTGAAGAGAAATGATAACATTAGTTACGAATAAAAGGAAAAGAAAAGAAAGGGAAGGATAATCTTAACGTCCTATTAGATTTGGTTAATTAATGAAGGAAAAAAAAAAAAAAGAAAGGATAATAATCACGTTTGGAAAAAGAAAAGGAAAGAAAGGAAAGGGAATTATTTTAATAAATTAATTATTATACCCTTTTATATATATATATATATATATATAATAGAGATGGAGGCGAGATTGGGGAGGCTGAAATGATTTGGCCTAATTTTTCTTTTCTTTTCTTGTGCAAGTATGGCTGAAATGATTTGGCCTAATTTTTCTTTTCTTTTCTTGTGCAAGTACGGGAGAATATATATATATTCTCCCGTACTTGCACAAGAAAAGAAAAGAAAAATTAGGCCAAATCATTTCAGCCTCCCCAATCTCGCCTCCATCTCTATTATATATATATATATATATATATATATATATATATATATATATATATAATCTCCTATAACAAGAAGAGGAAAAAAAAAAAAAAAAAAAATTGGGCAAATCATTTCAGCCTCCCCAAACTCGCCTCCATCTCAATTCTCGTTCTCAACTCTGAACTTGCCATCTCTCTCTCTCTCTGCACTACAACAATCAGAAGTTCAAAACCCATATATTTCAGTTTCTCTATCTGTCTGCAAGAATCAAAATTTCAATACCCGGATCAGTATATCATTTCAGATTGTTCAGAAAATCAAAACCCACATCTTTCAACTTCCATCGCTGTTGTTCCAGTTTGGGTTCGCCGTCAGCCGCTGGCCCGCCGTCTCTCATTCTCTCTGCAACTGCTAACTTGTATGTATATTGTTTTTCATACTTGTGTAATTTTGAGGGTAAAATTGGCATCACAACTCCTCTATTAGCCATTCCCTTCCATTTCTTTCCATTTCCTCCCATTTTTGGGAGGATAAGCAAATTACTATACAAAGTTATACATAACCTTCCAAACCCTTCCTTATCCTCTCATTTCCTTCCATCCATTTTACCCAAACACAATTTTTTAATCACCCTCTATCACCTTTCGTTCCCTTTCCTCTCATTTCCACTCTACCAAACTGACCCTAAAAGATGTGCTCCTATTAGGTTGCTTACGGTATGTGCTAGAGATAGAGAGAAATGGGAATTTTTGGACGATTTGGTCTTAAATTTTGGAACCAACCATAATGGAATCCAAAGGCTGATCGGCAGTGAAATTGAAGAACATAGTGATCAGAGAAACGTTAAAGAAGGTCTTGTGAGCTTTAATGATGTAACGATTTCTGAAGAAGAATAAGAAGAAGGGCGAGTCGACCCCCTGAGTAGAAATTGTAGAGAGGATGAAGCTTAAAAGTGTCATTTTGTAATTTTTAAAAATATATATATATTTTTTAATTTTACTTTAACTAATAAGGTCAAATTTGTCATTTTACAATCCGACTAACGGGTCGAACATAAATATTAAGACAATGTAATAACTTTGAAATAGTGTAAGAATTTTTACAAATAGGTAGAAATTTTATAATAAAAAAAAAAACATAATGAGAGTTTTATGATTTTAGTCCAATAAAAAATAAAAAGTTTTTATTAAAATTATATTCCGTGTACATTATAGGGGAAAACCACGTGTAAAATGCTCACAACTTATTGTATACTTTGTGGTTAATTGGGCAGCCCAGATAATTGATTGCACGTCACATCAATTCTTGAAGTCTTGAAAGCAGAAAAAAACACGTGGTTTTTATTTATTTATTACTCCATAATTATACATATTTCGGAAGGCAGAGAAAAAGCAAATGTTCAAACCAACCTGTCAAAACAAACTTTCAGACCAACCTCTCCTCACACGTTGAATCTGCGGTGTTAGACTGTTAGTGACAAGCCACGGCAGATAGATTAAAAAATAAAAAATAAAATCATACATCTCAAGCACCGATCATAGAGGTACCTAATTGATATTTTTTTTATATACTTTTGTGCAGGTCCATTAAATTTTAACACCCATGATTTCCATGAAAATTTACCAACATTTATATTGAACCCTTACTGATGGACAAAGGTGTATCATTTCGACTGGCCACTGCTTCTATTTTTTTCCTTCTCAAACTCAAGTCAAAAAAGGGTCATAACTCAACATCTCACGAACTCAGAGAATTGTATGAGATGTGCAGCCTTAAACACTAAAAATATATGGTGCCTTATCATTAGAAATTGATTGGTGTTAATTTTAAGATTTTTATAAAAAAGTAAGGACATTTTTAAATTTTTCACAAAATTTAGAGGTAACTTTGTAAATAAAAAAATTAAGTGGGCATCCACACTGAACCCTTAGTGGGTCCGTGCCTGCATCTCATAATTGTATTCGATCTAATTAATGTATATATATACATACAAGAAATTCACTCACACACTGATTTTATCTATAAAGGAACTTGAACCTTTGAAAAAAATAACCCTAGATTATGCCCAACGAGGTACCTAATTGATAAATTTTGATATACTTTTGTGCAGGTCCATTAAATTTCAACACACTAGATTTTGATGGAAATTTTCCAACATTTATTTTGAACCCTTATTCGTGGACAAAGGTGTATCATTTCGATTCACTGCTTTTAATTTCGTCCCTATTATATATATGGTCAGTTTGATTGTGAGATTTTTTATAATAATTTTATTATAAATTGATACATATAATATTTCAGGTCGCCAACATAATATTTTTAGACGCACCCGTCGGCACTGGATTTTCCTATGCCAACAACACGGAAAGTTCCTCCATCATGGATGATAAAATTTCAGCAGCACAAACCTATCAATTTTTGAGAAAGGTAATAATTTGGAGTCAGACGGCTAATATCATTATCATATATCATAATGACATTAGCTCATACAGTAAAATTAATTAAATTGTTCTCAAACTCCCTATCGTTAAGAATATAATATAATATTAAAAACATTTTAAGACCAAAACCCGAATTGGGTGAATGGCCCCACATCCCCTCTTAGTTGAATCCTTTGAATTTAAGTCTGTAAAAACATTTTTCTAAATTGTGTGTGTATTTTTTGAGTTAGAAAAATATTCATACAAACATTTCACAAATTTAGTGATTAAGCTCAAATTCCTGAACTTCTTTACGAGAAATCAGAGGTTACTAATTTTTTAAGTTGCGTTGATGTAGTGGCTTAATGATCATTCAGAGTTTACATCAAATGACTTCTATGTCGGTGGTGATTCATATTCTGGGATCGTCGTCCCTATCATTGTTCAAGAAATATATAAAGGTGACTTGTGCTAAACAAAATTAAGTAATCTAATAAGTTCATTTCATTATGCTGTGAAGGTACTGTGCCTGTGATAGTTTCTGCTATTTAATCATTTAATCAATTTGTTTTTCTTTTTCTTTTTTCATTTCCTTTCTGCAGAAAATGAAGTCAGACAAACGCGGATAATCAAGCTACAAGTAAACAATTATATTATTTGAAAAAAAAAAAAAAAAAGGGAGAAAAAGACACACATTATTTGTAAATTGTGATTGATTTCAAAGTTTTTCAAATTGATGATGACTTAGGGGTACATACTTGGAAACCCTCTAACCAGTGAACACAATGACCCAAATTCCAGAGTTGAATTTGCTCACCGGGTGGCACTTATATCAGACCAACTCTTCAAGGTGAATTCCCCTCCTTAATTTCTTCTATACAAAATCACCGGACCATTAATTCAATTGGTATAATCTTTCTCCCTTGAAAAAGAAACAAGAGACTCAAATTTCATAGTAGGCGTTCATGAATGTGTAAATATTTAGTTATTTTAATTTTGTATTCTCGACCGTCGACTTTGATGGTATTTTAATCAAATCAACATTAAATTTATTGATTTTATTTCAGTCAGCCAAAACAAATTGTGATGGTGAGTACGTGAATGTGGATTCAAACAATACAGATTGTGTAAAGGATATTGAGATTATTACAGAGGTGAGAGATACATATCAACTACTATATAATTTGTGATTCTTCAGAGAAAATATATTAACTATGGCTTCATAATTGAACTTATTATATATATATGTATATATATATAGTGCATTGCAAAAATAAACCTACCACAAATCTTGGAACCTACTTGTTCTTTAAAGTCCCCGAATTCAACTGCTCAAATAAAATGGGACAGAAGATTCGTCGGAGAGAATCCAGCAAACTTTTTTCTTTTATCTTCTCAACAAAACTCCAGACTATGGTGCAGGGTAAGTAGCAACTACTCTTTCTACACATACATACACACACACTTTTTTATTCCAGACGTTGAGGATCCTTTGCTGTAAAACATGGTGTTGTACGTAGTGGCATTGTAGCGATTGAACACTATTACATCTATTTTTTAACATTTCTACATTTACTTTTTTTTTTTTTTAAACTAGACTTAATGTGTTAAAAAATAGATATAATGTTTTGAAAATTAGAACGTTGAAAAACACATATAATGTGTTAAAAAAACTAATGTAATGTTTTAAAAATCAATACGTTGAAAAAGTTGATGTAACGTGTTAAAAAGTGTACAAGGCTACTACAACATGAAAAGATTATCGCAGTATACATGGGCTCCGCTTTATATACGGTTCCATACTGTTAAAATGAAAGATAAATTACACTAACCTATACACCCATCTCCCTTTTTGTTTGCCAAATTACACTAACGTCTCTTGTCAGATTTGTCAAGTTTATAATTACGATTCTTTCCTTATATATAATATATATGTGTGTGTGTATATATATTTGCAAGAAACAAGTATTTCAAGGATATATTTAGAATTTGAAAGTTACAAAAATTACTAATATAATCATTTTTCATCGTTTAATGTGTTGACTGTTAATGAAAGTTAGATATATATTATTTATGTACAAATTTCAAGAGAGATAAATGTAATTTGATAAATAAAATGAGATATTAGTGTATATTAACAAAACTTATTTACCGTAAAATGAAAATAAAGTGCTTTTACGGGTCTCATAGAAATAAAAAAAAAACAAACACACACACTCACACTCACACTCACACAACAAAAATTACAAGCTTATACAAATTGTATAATCAATTGGTTTACCATTTCTGTAGGAGTATAATTACTTGTTCTCCTTCATTTGGGCAAATGACGAGACTGTCCAAGAGGCTCTTCACGTCCGTGAGGTATATATGACATTGTTTATAGAAATCACAAACTAATCTAATCTTATAAATAAATAATAATATCAACCAGATACACACACACACACACACACACACACACACACACACACACACATATATATATATATATATATTTAAGATGGCAATGTTAAGCAGGGAACAGTAAAAGAATGGATGAGATGTAACTGGGGCTTGGCCTACACAGAAACAGTATTAAGTAGTGTTGCTTATCATCAATACCTCCTCTCAAATACAAATTATCGAGCTCTAATTTACAGGTAACATATATTTCCTTAGACTTAATTTCTCTGCTACTTCACTAATGTCAAGATTAGGTAGTATTTTTTTTAATAATATATCATCAAAATTATAATTACATTAGTTAATTAGGAATATAGTAATTGTGTGATTTAAGAGAGTCTTGAATTATAACGATTGTCAATATTGTTTTTTGTTTTATCATCACAGTGGTGATCACGACATGCTTGTTCCATATGTGGGCACACATGCATGGATTGAAGCTCTCAATCTAACAATCAGTGACGATTGGAAACCATGGTTCGTTGATGGTCAAGTTGCAGGGTTGGTTACTAATTTGATCTATTTCGATTTATTTTATTTGTACAACTTTTAATTCATAAATTAATTGCTAGTATATGTTTTACGATTGCTTATGGTATTAATTGTTTAATCGTAGGTACTCAATGGCATATTACTATCATGGATACCATTTGACGTATGCCACCGTGAAGGTAAGAAAATAAAAAAAAATACACTATTTTGACTCGTTTGTTTGGATATAAAATATATTTTAAATAATATAGATATTTATTTTTTTTGGTATTTGATTGTCCAAAATTTAAGTAAAACATTTTATCAAAACCTAACAAAAATAACTTTTGTTTTTGTTTTGAATTTTTTTTTTTCAAGACCTTTATCAAATACCAGAAAATAAAAAATATATTACTTAAAAAAAAGTTATATAAAAAAATATTTTTCGTCATAACGAAACCTTAGTTCCACCTAATTATACACCGAAAAAGTGAAAAATGTAGAGGAAATTTTGATAGCGTTCGTCGTGATGGAGTTGTGCAGGGAGGGGGTCACACAGCTCCAGAGTACAAGCCCAAAGAGTGTCTTGCGATGCTTCAGAGGTGGTTTGCTTATTATCCATTCTAGTACTCATCAATTGCGACTCCAAAATTAAAATTTCCCTTATGCTGTGTTTGGTATTATCGGAAGGGATTCTTATAATTGAAAAACAAAATGAATTTCAATTCTGAAGTACCGGTTGCTCTTAAATGTAACACTAATGTATTTAAATATATATGTTCAATAAATCTTGAGTTCTGTATATAGTGAATTTTCTAGCCAATTGGTTTCTGCTATGCACTTTGTGTCTATATAGATATATATATAGACAGAGAGAGAGCATGTGACAGAAAGTGGAATGCAGGATGTGATATCTTTATGAACAGTACCAAAATGCCTATTATGAACTTTGTTATTAAAATCCTACTGTATATAAGTGTGAAGGAAAGTTTAATATTGTTCGATCCTCATGCTACTTTGAATAATGTCATTAATCCAAATCAAATGGTAACATAACATGCGTGAAAGGAAATTGGCACCCGAGTCTGGGCCAACCCAAATCCAGCTCAGCCCAACCAAAAACCAAGCTATGAACTGCGCCGGCCCATTTTCGTCCCTAATAAGGCTGCTAAAACCCCATTTGAAGGAACATGTTTCAGAAAAAGTTGGTGTCAGTTTTCAGTAGATAAGAAGATGGTTTCATTGAATTCCCACATTTTATGGTTGTTGAATGGAGAATGATCCAATTGTTAGTTAGAGTGTGAGGGTTCAGTGCGAGTACCGAGTCGTGGTACTCAGTTTTCAGTAGATTTGGAGTAATTTGTTTTCATTCAATTCTAACATTTACTGTTGAATGGAGAAGGAGGTGACTTCTAATAGTTAGGTTGTGAGGCTTAGCGAGAGCACAATCATAGTAACTGTCAGAGGTGTCTTGTCTTATATCAAGTATACAGCACTATCGAAGGTCCTGTCCGGTGTATCGAGACGGGTTCAATTTTTGATCTGGTGTTTCGCTAAATACCCACATTGTTAGAGTCCGACCCGCTATAATAATCTTGTTCGACTTTATAATGCATTGAATTGAGAGATGCGCTCGGTCACTTGGACTCAAGGCCAAGTTTGATTGGGCGTCTGCTGAGCTAAAGCTCGTCCAACCAAACATTTATTTACTTCCTTTAGATCAGAAGGGTATAATTAAAGCAATACAGTTTTTTACCTTACTTTTTAACCTCTGTTTTTGTTGTAGAATTATAATTACTTGTACTCCTACATTTGGGCTAATGATAAAGATGTCCAACAAGCTCTTAACGTTCGAGAGGTATGTTATAATGTTGATCTAAACAAAGTAGTATCATATATATAATATCAACATGATTTAATCAGATGATTTTGTGATGAAAACCAGGGAACAATATCGGAGTGGTTGAGATGCAATAAGAGCATCTCTTACACTTACACATATAACTACACTAATGTTGTGGACTTCCATCGAAACCTCACTAATAAAGCTTGTCGAGTTCTAATTTACAGGTGATTTACTAGAGATCTCTCTACGATACCTGCTTTATCGAACCTTTAAATTAGAATAGTTTGACTTCGTTTTAAATGATCCCCGGACCTCCAATGCAATGCAACACCTGTGTTGTACTATAGAGAAATCGGACTTATATCTATATAGACATTTATTTACTATGCTTATGTTCGAAGTATTAATTCTAATCTCTACAAAATATTATCCACAGTGGTGATCACGACATGGTTATTCCATACGTTGGTACACTAGACTGGATAGAGTCTCTCACATCGACGGTTGATACTGATTGGAAACCATGGTTTGTCGAAGGTCAAGTGGCAGGGTTGGTTCCTAAACTTCTAAATCACTATATGTGTGTGTGTGTGTATATATATAACAATCACATGTACTAAAAGTATATAAATGCATCCATTTATGTTATGTAGATTTACAGAGAAGCTTACAAATATCAAGTACTGGTTGACATAACTATAAAGGCAAGGAAATGTTGAACTCAATTCCTCTGTTAAATGATGTTAGCAAGTAAAATGTGAAGTTGATTATGTTTCTTTTGGGCTTTGTATAGGGAGGAGGTCACACAGCTCCATAGTACAGGCCCAAACAGTGCCTTGCAATGCTTAGTAGATGGTTGGCTCATTTCCCTCTCTAGTTGAATTTTGTAGCTCTTAAGTCCATTTACAATTCTAGGTGCAACCCTTCTGTGTCCTTCTTGATGTAATATGAGCTATGTTTTAAATAGATATTAACTTTGATTTTGATTATAAAAGCCAAATGATGGTCATTTTGGTTTGATTTGTAGTGAGCTAGGTTGAAATTAAATCAGTCCACTAAATTTGAAGTTTGTTTTTCACTTGGATGTTCCCCTCTTCTTCATTTCACTTGGGACCTATTTGGCAATCACAATTGTTTTGTGCTTTTATTTGGACTCGAAACAGAAGCAATATCCTTACTTTAATGTGTGATCAATAATATTTGGAAGCCAGTTTTATTGTTGGTGAACAGTGTCTTTGGTACTATGCGGAAGCAACTGGAAGCATCAATTTTTTGCTTCCGGTTTTGGTTTCTTTTTCAAAAATGCTTCGATACTAATCAAATAGCAACAAACGTTACTACACATGTTTGGTACTTTTGTTTCGCTATGGTACACTAACAAAAACAAATAATATGAAGTAAAAGCGATTGCGAAACGTGCGCTTAGATATTGATTTGTAAATATCATACCTGGCAAGAAAATGAAATAAAATTATTAAAAGAAAAAAAAAAAAAAAAAATTTGCTATGGTTAAAGGTAGAAAACTGACAAAAAATAATAATTTTAATTATCATGGGCAAAAATTAGTACATGAAACCCATAAAAGTTATTCAAATACAAAAAAGTAAAAATAGAATTACAAATGACTGACTATAGAGAGTGGGCCAATATAATAATTAAACAAAAACATGCAAAAGGGTATTTAGATATGACTGGGCCTTTTCAAAATGTTTAGTGGATGGGCCCAAGTTTCAGGACCTAGACCCAAGCTTGCCTGAATGTTGGTTGCGATCAGGCTTGGATCCAAATCTAACGAATGATCTACTTGCAATTGCTAAAATAAACTAAAGAGAGAACCATATAAAAAGTTTCAAAATAAAAATTGGGTTTTTTTTTTTTTTTTTTTTTTTTTTTTTTTTTTTTTTTTTTTAAGTTGATACTCAAATACGCATGTTTTTATTAATGCTCGAATCCTAATCTTTTTTTGAAAAGTAAGAATTTGGTACCACTATTGGTGGGGCATGTTAAAAACTATATGTGAAAAAAAAAATATGTATGAACAGGCTTGGATCCAAATCTAACGAATTTGAATTTGGATGCAATTATTTATAGGAAAAAGTTGCTCTCATTTTTCAATAAATAAGAAACTGCTCTCATTGAATTGGCACATTTATTGTTGTCGTTGAGATGTTTTTAAAGATTAGGACATGTTTCACTTTCTTATTTTGGTCCTTAATTAGGTGTGTTCGGTAGTTGGGATGCACACGCACAATATTTTGCTTCTTAACAACCAAACCTACAATAATATATTTTGCTACTTAACAATCAAACCTACAACAATCTGATTAAAAAGATTGGAACCGACATTAATTTGTCATAAACAAAGGAAAAACACAGATACGTGCGCTACTTAACAATCAAACCTACAATAATATTAACAGAGACTGGGAGACAAGGCTTGACTACACTCAGCTCATATTCATTTTATATATATCTGTAAGGTGAACTAAGGTATGGACCAAAAAGTAACATGTATTCCACAACCTCATGTTTAGTTATCATATTGGTTCTTAGTGGTACTGCTATTTCCAAGTCCATCATCAAGACTCTACCAGGCTACACAGGTGATCTGCCCTTCAATCTTGAAACTGGGTGAGTTTATATTCATTAATATTTCACTTCACTTCTTTACCAGTTTTATATACGCGCGTATCATATATATATAAATATATGTATATAGATATAGATTCATATGTTTAGTACTAAAATGATGGTGTAATATATTTTGTACGTAGATATGTGAGTGTGGGAGAGTTGGACGATGTGCAGCTATTTTACTATTTCATGGAGTCGGAGGGCAATCCGAAGGAGGACCCTCTTATGCTTTGGCTTAGTGGAGGACCTGGTTGTTCTGGTTTTAGTGCCCTTGTTTATGAAATAGGTTTTTTTCTCATCCTTTCCATCAATACACACACACATATAATTATATATATGGAATACATATAAATACACATATACATTTGTGTTGTAGTGCATGTCTTTTCTACCATCAAGAACTGAAGAAAAAATATAGCTGAAGTAGAGGTATGATGTCTAAATATTTAGTTCGCGGGAGAAGGGAGAATGACTTTTAACTCGATTTTCTAAACCAACGGGTCCCATTCACAACATCAAATGAATAAAAATTTATTTCAATACATTCATCGATTAGGATACTATTTAAATAGCATTGTTCAAATAGATACTTTTCTAGTCAGTTGAAGATCTATTTTTTTTTTTTTTTTTTAATGATAACTGGAGTGTTTCGAACTTTTGCCCCGACTCTTCTACGGGACCCGTGCAAAACAACACCTCCATATGAATCAGGTAAAGTTCACACTATGTTTGCGGTCGTGACCCTTAAAATATGGATGACACTCAAAAAGATACAACATAAAACTTAATATTTAATGAAACACTAAATTCCATAACTTCACCATAAAGCCAACCCTTAGGTTTTAAGTTTAAAATGTTCAAACCAACCTCTCCTCACACGTTGAATCTGCGGTGTTAGACTGTTAGTGACAAACCACGGCAAATAGATTAAAAAATAAAAAATAAAATAACACATCTCAGGCACCGATCATAGAGGTACCTAATTGATATTTTTTATATATACTTTTGTGCAGGTCCATTAAATTTTAACACCCATGATTTCCCTGAAAATTTACCAACATGTATATTGAACCTTTATTCATGGACAAAGGTGTATCATTTAGACCGGCCACCGTTTTTATTTTATTTTTTCTCAAACTCAGGTCAAAAGAGGGTCACAACTCAACATCTCATGGACTCAGAGAAATGTTTGAGATGTGCAGCCTTAAACACTAAAAATAGATGGTGTCGAATCATTAGAAATTGATTGGTGGTAATTTTAAGATTTTTATAAAAAAGTAGGGATATTTTTAAAATTTTCACAAAATTTAGAGGTAACTTTGTAAAAAAAAAAAAATTAAGTGGCCGCGTTTGTCCACACTGAATCTTAGTGGGTCCGTGCCTGCATCTCATAATTGTATTCGATTTAATTAATGTCTATATATATAAATATTTATAAGAAATTCACTCACACACCGACTTTATCTATAAAAACTTGAACATTTCAAAAAATAACCCTAAACTACGCCCAAGGAGGTACCTAATTGATATATTTTTATATACTTTTGTGCAGGTCCATTAAATTTCAACACGCTAGATTTCGATGGAAATTTTCCAACATTTATTTTGAACCCTTATTCGTGGACAAAGGTATATCATTTCGACCTTCAATGCTTTTAATTTCATCCCTATTATATGGTATATGGTCAGTTTGATTGTGAGATTTTTTTTATAATCAGTTTATTATAAATTGATACATATAATAATATTTCAGGTGGCCAGCATAATATTTTTAGACGCACCAGTTGGCACTGGATTTTCCTATGCCAACATCACCGAAAGTTCCTCCATCATGGATGATAAAATTTCAGCAGCCCAAACCTACGAGTTTTTGAGAAAGGTGATGATTTGGAGTCTGAATTATACGAGTGAGGGTTAATATCATCACGATGACATCAACTTATATTATCGTAATATTAATCAAATTGTTCTCGAGCTCCCTATCATTAAGAATATAATATAATATTAAAAAACATTTTAGGACTAAAACCCGAATTGGGTGAATGGGCCCCACACCTCCCTCTCTTAATTGAATCCTTTGCATTTAGGTACTTAAAAACACTAATTTATTTATTTTAAAAAAAGGTAATAATTTTTTCTAAGTTGTGTGCGTATTTTTTGAGTTAGATAAGTATTCATATAAACATTTCACAAATTTACTGATTGAGTTTGAATTCTTGACCTCTTAACAAGGAATGAGATATTATACTAATTTTTTAAATTGTGTTGATGCAGTGGCTTAATGATCATTCAGAGTTTACATCAAATGACTTCTATGTCAGTGGTGATTCATATTCTGGCATCGTCGTCCCGATCATTGTTCAAGAAATATATAAAGGTAATGTGTGCTAAACAAAATTGAGTAAATCTAATAAGTTCATTTCATTATGCTGTGAAGGTACCGTGCGCGCATGTGACAGTATGTGCTATTTAGTCACTTTAATCAATTTGTTTTTTCCTTTTTTTTTCCTTTTTCTTTTTCATTTCTTTTCTGCAGGAAATGAAGTCGGACGAACGCCGATAATCAAGCTACAAGTAAACAATTAAATTATTTGAAAAAAGAAAAAGAAAAAGACACACATATTTTGTAAAATGTGATTGATTTTAAAGTTTTTCGGATTGATGAGTCAGGGATACATACTTGGAAACCCTGTAACAAGTCAACATGATGATGCAAATTCCAGAGTTGAATTTGCTCACCGGGTGGCACTTATATCAGACCAACTCTTCAAGGTGAATTCCCCTCCTTAATTTCTTTTATATAAAATCACCCGGCCATTGGTATAACGTTTCTCCCTTGAAAAAGAAATGCGAGACGTAGGCATTTGTGAATGTGTAGAATATTTAGGTATTTTAATTTTGTATTCTCGACCCTCGACTTGATGGTATTTTAATCAAATCAACATTAAAATTGAATTTATTGATTTTATTTCAGTCAGCCAAAACAAATTGTGATGGTGAGTACATGAATGTGGATCCAAACAATACAAAGTGTGTAAAGGATATTGAGATTATCACAGAGGTGAGACAGATGTATATCAATTGCTATTTAACTTGTGATTATTCAGAGAAAATATATTAACTATGGCTTGATATTGAACTTACTTTTTATATATAGTGCATTGCAAAAATAAACCTAGCACAAATCTTGGAACCTATCTGTTCTCTAAACTCCCCGAATTCAACTACTCAAATAAAATGGAACAGAAGATTGGTCGGAGAGAATCCAACAGACTTTCTTCTTTTATCTTCTCAACAAAACTCCAAACTATGGTGCAGGGTAAGTATCAACTGCTCTTTCTACACACAGTCACACACACTTTCTATACTAGTCCGAGTCATTACATCTATTTTTGCTGTAAAATTTGGTGTTGTACGTAGTGGCACTGTAGTGATTTAACACCATTACATCTATTTTTTAACATTTTACATTTACTTTTTAAAATCGGGACTTGATGTGTTAAAAAATAGATATAATGTTTTGAAAATTAGAGCATTGAAAAACAAATATAATGTTTTAAAAATTAGTATGTTGAAAAAGTTGATGTAATGTGTTAAAAAGTGTACAAGACTATTACAACATGAGAAAATTATCGCTGTATACGTGGGCTCCGCTTTATACATGGTTCAATACTGTTAAAATGAAAGATAAATTACACTAACCTCCCCTAATGTTTCGTCAATATACGTCCATCTCCCTTCTTGTTTGCCAAATCACACTAACGTCCCTCGTCAGATTTGTCGAGTTTATAATTATGATTCTTTCCTTATATAATATATATATATATATGTATATGTATATATATATATATATATATAGCAAGAAACAAGTATTTCAAGGGTATATTTGGAATTTGAAAGTTACAAAATTACTAATATCAGCATTTTTCATCTTTTAATGTGTTGACAGTTAATGAAAGTGAGATATATATTATTTACGTACAGATCTCAAGGGAGATAAATGTAATTTGATAAATAAAATGAGATATCAGTGCATATTAACAAAGCTTCATAAAATGTCGATATAATTTACAGTAGAATGAAAATAATGTGCTTTTACTGGGTCTCATAAAAAAATAAAAAATAAAAACCAAACCAGACTCACACAACAAAAATTATAAGCTTATACAAATTGTATAATCAATTGGTTTACCATTTCTGTAGGATTATAATTACTTGCTCTCCTACATTTGGGCAAATAACGAGACTGTCCAAGAGGCTCTTCACGTCCGTGAGGTATATATGACATTGTTTGTAGAAATCACAAACTAATCTAATCTTATAAATAAATAATAAAAATATCAACCAGATATATATATATATATATATATATATATATATATATGATGGCAATGTTAAGCAGGGAACAGTAAAAGAATGGATGAAATGTAACTGGGGCTTGGCCTACACAGAAACAGTATTAAATAGTGTTGCTTATCATCAATACCTCATCTCAAATACAAATTATCGAGCTCTAATTTACAGGTAATATATATTTCCTTAAACTTAATTTCTCTGCTACTTCACTAATGTCAAGATTAGGTAGTATTTTTTTTGTTAATTATATATCATCAAAATTATAATTACACGAGTTAATTAGGATTATAGAATTGTGTGATTTAAGAGAGCCTTTGAATTATAATGATTTTCAATATTGTTTTTTGTTTGATCATCACAGTGGTGATCATGACATGAAAGTTCCATATGTGAGTACACATGCATGGATTGATGCTCTCAATCTAACAATCAATGATGATTGGAAACCATGGTTCGTTGATGGTCAAGTTGCAGGGTTGGTTACTAATTTGATCTATTTCGATTTATTTTATTTGAATAACTTTTAATTCATAAATTAATTGTTATATGTTTTACAATTGCTTATGGTATTAATTGTTTGATCGTAGGTACTCAATGGCATATTACTATTATGGATACCATTTGACTTATGCCACCGTGAAGGTAAGAAAATAGAAAAATACACTATTTTGACTCGTTTGTTTGGATATAAAATATTTTTAAATTTTTTTGGTGTTTGATTGTTCAACATTGAAGTAAAATATTTTATCAAAACGTAACAGCAATAATTTGTGCTTGGTTTTAAAAATAATATTATATATATATATATATGTGTGTGTGTGTGTGTGTGTGTGTGTGTATTACTTTAAAAAAAATTATATAAAAAAATATTTTTCGTCAAAACAAAACCTTAGACCCACTCAAAAAGTGAAAATGTAGAGGAAAGTTTGTAGTGTTCCTGGTGATGGACTTGTGCAGGGAGGGGGTCACACAGCTCCAGAGTACAAGCCCAAAGAATGTCTTGCGATGCTTCGTAGGTGGTTTGCTTATTACCCTTTCTAGTACTCATCAATTGCGACTCCGAAATTAAAATTTCCCTTATGCTATGTTTGGTTTTATCAGCGAAACGAATTCTTAGAATTGAAGAACAAAATTAATTTCAATTCTAAAGTACCAGCCAGTGCTCTTAAATGCAACACTTACGTACGGCCCCATTTGGCATAGCTTTTACTTTTGCTTTTACGCTAAAGAAAAAAAGAAGTAGAGGCTATCACTTCTGTTGGGCTTATGTGTTAGTGTTTAGAAATTGCATTGTAGAAGAGTTTTTAATGCTGTAAGAGTTTTTTTATTTGTTTGGCAAAAATTTACTAAAAGCTTTTCTACAACTAACATAACTATTTTGCCATTCATTTAATTTATCAAATTTATTTGTAAGAAGCCATATAATAATAATAATAGTAAAGATTGCAAAAACGATTTTGCGTTTTAAGAAATTTAGTAATAGTGTTTCAATATGCCATTAAAAAATCAATCAAATGAGCATTTTTACCAAGTAAATAATAAAACAATTCCAAAATAATGGTCTAAATAACAAAATTAAGTTATTTTGTACAAGTTATTTTTTTCACATGTTGATACCCATAAAATGATTTAATTCCTAATTTATGGAGTCGGGATTAAAACTTGGGCCTTTGGCCACAAGCAACACATGCCTGGACTATCACACCACATCCTTATTTTGTAATTGTTTTCTTCTATAGTGTTTTGATAAATTAAAATATGGTAGGAAACTAAAAACAACACTTTCTTCTATAGTGTTTTGATAAATTAAAAAATGGTAGGAAACTAAAAACAACACTATACTTACCGAAAAAAAAAAAAAAAAAAAAAAAGGCAACGCTTTCCATATAAGTTTACTTTTCTCAATTCAATTTTGAAGTGAAAAAAAAAAATTAAAGAAGGAATTTTATTTTCTTTATTTTGTTGACAGTGATCGGTGACCATCCGTCTTTTATTATGCCTTAGACCTGGAGATTTTTTTCATAACCATTGTCAAGTAATTCATATAACATATATACACATATGTTATATGTATATACACTCACAGCTTCACAAGCAAAATTGAGACAAAATAAAATTAAAGGGAAAAAGCATATGATCGATGGTAATGAATCTAAGAATAGGGACCCAAAAAAAAAAAAAAAATCGAATTACAGATTGCTACAGGCATATATATATATATTGTTCTCATCCTTTACTGGCTTACTTAGGATTCTGCAATTTAATGATTCATTGGAGCTTGAATAAAAAAGAAGAGAAGTCAAATAAGAATCTTCTTCTGGTTTCCCTCCCATATATCAAATCAGTCTTTTGAGAATAATTTTTTTTTTTGTTAGGTATTAAAAAGGGTACACATGTCATTTAAAAAGTTTCATTAAAATACCAAAACTCTTCCCGTGTTGTTTCAAAAGAGCGTTTTTAAAATGCTCTTCCAAGGACTCAAAGTTTCTAAAAAATTTGCCAAACACTACTCAAAAAAACATTTTAGTTCAAAAAGCTTTGTTTAAAAAGCTAGTTTAAAAAGCCAATCCAAACACAGCCGTACTATATATATGTTCAATAAATATTGAGTACTGTATATAGTGAATTTTCTAGCCAATTGGTTTCTGCTATACACTTTGTGTCTATATATAGTTATATATAGAGAGAGAGCATGTGACAGAAGTCAAATGCAGGTCTTGAGTACCGTATATAGTGAATTTTCTAGCCAATTGGTTTCTGCTATACACTTTGTGTCTATATATAGATCTATAGAGAGAAAGAGTATGTGACAGAAGTCAAATGCAGGATGTGATATCTATATGAACAGTTGGTCAAATACCAAAATGCCTATCATGAGCTTTGTTATTAAAATCCTATATGAGTGTGAAATTGTGAAGGAAAGTTTAATAGTGTTTAATCCTCATGGTACTTTGAATAATGTGATTAATCCAAAGCAAATAGTAACATAACGTGCGTGAAAGGAAATTGCACCGAGTCTGGGCCAACCCAAATCGAGCCCAGCCCAACAAAAAACAAAGCTATGATCTGTGCCGGCCCATTTTCGTCCCTGAGGCTGCTTAAACCCGTTTCAAGGAACATGTATAAGAAAAAGTTGGTCTCAGTTTTCACTGGATGAGAAGATTGTTCATTGCATTCCCACATTTTATGGTTGTTGAATGGAGAATGATCCAATAGATAGTTAATTAGGGTGTGAGGTTCAGTGAGAGTACTGAGTCACAGTAGTACACTCAGTTTTCACTAGATTGGAGTAATTTGTTTTCATTCAATTCTCACCTTTTACTGTTGTTGAACGGAGAATGGTGAATGGTGACTTCTATAATAGTTAGGTTGTGAGGCTTAGTGAGAGCACAGTCACGGTAACTGTTAGAGGTGTCTTGTTTTATATTGGATCGAAGTGGAAGGTACAAAGCATACACAGACAAGTATGCAGTGTTACAAAAAGTAGCAAAGGCAGCTCAATCCTTAATCCGATGTTATACCAAATTTCGCACTGTTGGAGTCCAAGTCGTTACTTGGTCCTCCCGTCGTTAGGATGGGATGGATAGACAAAATGGATCGATTGCAAATTTGCAAGAGTCATAATGCAAGCATCCGACCCACTATAATAATCTAGTTCCACTTTATAATGAATTTGATGATTGAGACATGCGGGTGGGTTGGTTAGCCCACGTTAAACCCTGATTTCAACACGTTATCTAGCGTCAAGCCCAAATCCCAAAAAATATATTCCTCGGGTCATCCCAAATTTTAACAAGGCTACTACTAAATGAACATTACAAAAAGAAAATTGTTATATATAAAACTATACATACTTTGATATGAAATAAAATCACTTTTATAAGGTGACAAGTATAATTTTTTGGGGGGAGGATTTTGGTAAACAGAAGCTATGGTTGTTGAATGGAGAATGAATCGAATGATGACTTCCAATGGTTAGGGTGTGAGGTTCACTGTGAGTACCGTCATAGTAATAATTTGTTTTCATTAAATTCTCACCTTTGCAGTTGTTGAACGAAAATTGGAGAAGGTGACTTTCTGATAGTTAGGTTGTGACTTGTGAGGCTTAGTGAGAGCACAATCATAGTATCTGTTAGCTATCCCGATGTGGAAGGTTTTAAACAAAATGGACAAGTAGGCAACACTATCCCATGTTCATTGTAAGTGGTATCAAAATGGGTTCAATTTTTAATTTGGTGTTTCGTCAAACGCCGACGTTGTTGGAGTCTGGGTCATTACTTGGTTCTTCCATCATTAAGACGAGACGAATAGATAAAATGAACCAAGACTGCAAGAGTCAGAAGGCAAGCGTCCAACCCGCTATAATAATTTTATTCCACCGTATAATACATTGGATTGATAGTGCACTTGGTCACTTGGACTCAATGCCAAGTTGGATTGGACGTAAGCTGAGCTAGAGAGCTCGTCCAACCGTAGTAGTAGATGTATTTGATCATTGAGACATGTTTCACTTAATATACTTAACTTAGGGGTGGAACTTGGGTGGGTATGTTGGGTAGGCACCTCATCCCGCTTCAAACCCAAATCCCGAGAAACCTATTTTATCTCAACCCGCCCCATAGCACACAAATTTTTTGATTCTTCGGATAGTCCTGAATTTTAATTAACGTACTAATATATGAACATTACAAAAAAAATATATGTTAAAGTATATATTTATACACATGAAATAAAATCAATCCTACCATGTGACAAGTAGGGTTTTTTTTGGGTGATTAAACTTGTGAAACTAAAAAATATTCCTTCCCATTAGAATTTGGAAAGAACCCAATATCATATATTATTTATTACTTTGTTTCTTTAACCAAAAAAAAAATTCATTATAATTTTTTACTTTGAAATTTAAAGCAAACGTGTTAAAAGTTGGGTTACTGCTACCTATTTATACTATAAATCATCTCATTTTAACTTTATTACATAAAAAACGTCTGACTTTAAAAATATAAAAATCATAAACTTTTCTTATATTTCGGATTACTCGGGTTGTGAGGCATTTGCCCAAATCCCATCCAAAATAAATTCAGGATCTAAAATGTAAACCCAATATCATGGTCTCAAGTACCTTACTACCTTGCCTGCGCACGTAAATTTTTTGAGGCTCGGGTCAAACCCACCCAAGTTCCTCTCCTAGCTCAACCGACTAAATTGCAAATCTTCCAAGTTCTATTTATTTATTTTTCAACTCCAAGTTCTATTTAATTTGGTCCTTACGTGTTTCAGTAGTTCACAAACAATATATATATATTTTTTTTAGTTAAAGGAAAGATTTGGTAGTAATACTACCAAATATTATTAGCTGTAAATATAATATTTGGAGAATATTTTCTATAAATAGAATATTGGTCAAATGTTGTAAAATATGAAATTATTAATTAGGCCAGCTAGGTATGTACATGTATTCTCCCCTATAAAGAGAACCTGTGTAAACTTGTGAATTGTGTGCTAACATAGAGAAAAAGGTTTTACTATTTTTCTTTCCTTTATAATTTATATGGTATCAGAGCCACCCTAAGGAAATAAATAAATAAATAAATATAAATAAAAATAAAACCCTAATTTTCTTTTCTGCACAATTTCTTCACTGATTAGCCATGTCTGACGGATCCTCCATATCATCCTCGCCTATCACAACCCGGTCAACAAATCCGACAACCCAAGTCCCCAGTACCGATTCTCACTCGATTCAGATCACCAATATTCGCCTTCATGGTGACAATTATTTATGGTGGTCCCAGTCCGTTCGGATGGACATCCGAGGGCGGGGAAAGATCGGGTACCTGACAGGATACAAGAAGGCACCAGCATCGGAGGACCCAACGTACGTGACCTGGGATGCAGAAAATTTAATGGTGATAACTTGGCTTGTGAACTCCATGGACAAGGATATTAGCTCCAATTATATGTGCTACTCCACGGCTAAGGAGCTCTAGGACAACGTGAATCAGATGTACTCTGATTTGGGAAATCAGTCTCAGATCACGAATTGACTCTAAAACTTGGTGATATTCAGCAGGGAGAAGACTCGATCACCAAGTATTTCAATTCATTAAAGCGCATTTGGCAAGACATGGATTTATTCAATGATTATGAATGGAAATCCACTGAATATGCCAATCACTACAAACGGACCGTGGAGGCTCATCGTATTTACAAATTTCTTGCTGGGCTGAACGTGGAATTTGATGAAGTACGAGGACGGATCATTGG